CCAAAAATTGCGGGCCTATTTGGAAAGACAATGAGAGCTGGGCGAACAGTTTTACTATTATCGATATATCTTTGGGAAAAGGCAAATAAAAATAAATCGTGACTAAAACCCATAAATTGAAACAAAAAGTGATCTACTGGCCAAAATCTTGAATTTCTGGCGAAAAAACCGGAGACAAAGCTCCTCCGGAAGTCAACAGGCGGTGCTATTTCGCTCTGATTTTTCACGGCTTTCTATGCGTGCACTGAACTAAAGGAAGCCCATTTGAAGACAAGGTAAAATTGACCACGTTTGCAGCCCCGGTGCAGGCAACCAAAGTCCTTCGGGCCTCTTACACCCCCCCCCAGCGGCAACTTAAAAAAAAACAAAACAAAACAAAAAAGCAGAGTGTTCTTGGGTCATTCAGCTTTCTATTGATTTCCAATTTTACGTAGGTTACTTAACCAATGAAATTTCTAATTATTCACCAAAAACAAACTCACCCCCCCCCTTAAAAAAGTGAACGGTACCAAGTCTGTCATCAGCAGCCATTTTTCAAATGACATCCCTGCACCTTTTCAGTCTCTTGGAACATTTTGTCAGTAGCATTTTGCTGTGCTTGGCCCTGGGATGGGAGCCCTTGAATGTGGAGAGTTCATTTTGGGCCATTCTTCCAGAATCCCACAATTTCTTGGGCCACACAATCTCCTCTTTTTCAAATAAACTCTAGGGGTACTTTTTCAGCACCTCAGTTTGGCGAAGAATTCTCCCTGAATTGGGCAGAGCACCCCTATGGGCGCGTATTTTGGTGTAGTGCAACCTTTACGAGGTGAGACGTGTCCGGACGGACGTGCAGTCCGGGGACTTTACCATATTGATGCGCGCGCATTAATTCAAATTTGTCAAGGAAGAGATGCCAGTGAGATTTGTGTGCAGGCCAATTGTGCATTTTTGCTACATGATGCACTATTGTAGCGTTTTGATCGCTCGGTCTTTGCAGAGCAAATTCTGTGGGGTATAACTTTGTTAATAATGGTTTTGTTATCTACGTAATATGAACAACCCGAAGCATTTTTCTGAAATTGCCAAATGGTTAAGCTGGTGGTTATCAGATCGTCAGATCGTGGGTTCGAATCCCACCGGTGACTTTTATTTTCCCAAAGCGTGCTGTCAGTCAGTAGCTATAAGAGACTCTAATTCACCCCCGCCAAATACCAACAGTACCTTAGCCCACGGGATAAGCTCTTCTGCTGGGACTGTCCGCGAGGTCCAGGTGAGCACCTTAGTACAGGTTCGAGACGTATGGCCGACTCGGCGGCCANTTTAGTGAGCGCAAAACTCTCAAGGCAATTTTCTGGGTTGAATACACGGATCACTTTTTTATTCATAATCTACATTTCTTAAATGTTCGACAATAAAACCGATTTCAACCGTGTTGGGGTCCATTTCTGCCTAGTGATCTCAATCAAAAACAGCGACGTATCTCTATGTGAATTTTTATTATTGACGGTGCAAGAGAAACAGATCAAGGGGCGGCACAGTCTGGCACCTTATTTCATTGACGGAAGAACATTTAGTACAATTTCGCTTGCTTTCAACTGCAGAATCACTTGATATCTTCAAACAGAGATCATCACAAAAGACATGCATGTCCCACTTGTATTGGATTAATCTTCTTGCGTCACGCCAACAGATCTGCTCCCCCAAAATACAAGCACAAAACTGGTCAAACAAAAGCAAAACAAACAAACAATCCCTATAGTTCTTTGAATTTCAACAACAGAAAATGACAGAGAATCTGGATGTCGAATCTGTAAAGATTTTGGTTTTACCCTAATCACGTCCCAAAAGCTTTATACAGCCTCTGTATCACGGCGCACTCCATTCAGTTTGGTTTTTATCTCCACGTAACCCACGTTACATTTAATTTTGGCAAGACCGAAACTTCATGTTGTCATTTATATCAAGAGCCTCACTGGCCCTAAATTTTATATCCGTATTCGAGTTACAAAAAGGGACAAGGGAAAAAAGTCACCCAAGTTACTTGCTCAGAATGTGTCTCTTTTCGAACTCAAATAGAACACCACCAAAATTTACCTGCCATTTTTCAAAACTTCAGAAAATATCAAATGCAAGCATTGACCATTCCGTATTTCCCTAGGTGCTGTGCATGAAAACAGCATGATGAACACCGTCTGTGGAGTTATGATGAACTCCTGCAAAAACATTTGTGATTGTACACACACGACACAAAGTTGGCGTATATCTTTTTTTTTCTTTGGACTCGTGTACAATTTGTCTAAAATGTACATTTTTATTCAACCGCTGGCCTTGAGAATCAAAACCTTTACTTAAAAAATGCGACGCCGGCTGAAAAATGCGACGCTGGTCGAAAAATGCAACGCCGGCTGAAAAATGCTACGCCGGTCGAAAAATACAACGCCAGTTGAAAAATGCTATGCCGGTAGAAAAATGCCACGCCCGGTCGAAAGATGCGACGCCAGCTGAAAATGCGTCGCCAGTCGAAAAATGCGACGCCCGTCGAAAAGTGCGACGCCCATCGAAAAGTGCGATGCCGGATGGCACATATGGAACACCGTACAGCATACTTGACCGCCCTGAATATAGAGCTGTGAATGTGTGAATGACAAATAAGCGAATGTAGTCTGGTTCCTTGATCTGGATGGAAATTTTATGAATCAAAAACGCCTGAGTTGGGTAACCAGACGAAAAACAAAATGGCGTCTTTCGACTGACTCGGGTTAGAAATTTGAAGTTTTCTAGCTTAAATGTTGTCCAAATTACCTGAACTAGGACTATCAGGATTGAGTAATAGTTGCTTAAGGTCAAAATGTCAGAAAGAAGGTGGACTTCGTTTCCTGATTTTTGGAACAGGGAGCTAATTGTAATGAACCCCATATACGGACCCCACCCATACGGATGTGAGACTGGTCTTGAGAAAGTCTTTTTTCTAAATAAACGATTTTGGTTTTTTTTTCCTCCTAAATTGAAATTTTCTGGACATGTTTTTGTTTTTGCAGGCTAAGAGGTCACTCTAGGGAATAACTACATACATGTATTGGTGCCCATATATGGAACTCTTCCCAAAAAAACCTAGTATGAGACTTGTCTGAAAAAAGAAATGTGTTTTCTAAGTAAATGCTTCAGAATTTTCTTGGCTAAATTCCACTTTTTAGGACTTTTTGTTATAACAGCCATCCAATGACTTGGATGGCTGTTATAATATTTTAAGAGAAAACTAATGTTGTCCCTATGTGGAACTCGTACATGATGTAGTGTTTCTCCCGCCGCCATATCATTGATGTTTGTAAATTTTAAGAAATGGGATTGGACCTCAATCGACAATAAACTATTCCACAGTTTAATGAGCAGTCAGTTCTAGAGTAGAGGGTGTATCTGTTGACTTTATCGCTGCATGGGACACCCCTAGAACTCTGTTGGTCATCATCTGCCGCACTCCCCAGAGTTCTAGGGGTATGCTTGGGATGTACATGTACATGTATGCAAGCATCAAGCAAATACCTTCACTTTCAGTTGATCCTGTCCAAAAGCCGTAAAAGTAAGTTTACTTTGCCTTTAAGTTTAAAAAACTAATTCATTCACAGCTATAATGGATTTGAAAAGGTGCACAATTCATGAAGGCAGAGTGCACAGACTTTACACAGGAATGACTGACCAATTAAGTGTTTGCAAGTGATCATACAGACGTGACAGACCTATAGATTTTGCCCAACATTTGATTGGTAGATGTCCAATCTCCCAATTATCCTCAACTTAAGGTTTTCCGTGTATGAACAGCTCGCAATGAGGTACTAGATCCACTCAAATTTTCAACATACAGGTCTGATTTGACGACTGAATTGTAATGGCTTTGTGACTACACGTACATGTAGCTAGTATGATATGCGTATTTCCGCATGTAGTGCAGTAGCAGAGCATGATATACTGTAGTGAATGAAGTGGTATGAAGGGTGATTTAGGCAACCGAGCCACTCTGTTCAGGGTCAGTGCCCAAGGTTTTTAACCAACCAGGTTAATTTGCCTACATGCAATTGCATTACAGAAGACTGCAACATCAAGATGAAGTTCCAACTTCACAAAATCCAGCAGGCAGCTGGTCGACTCGCAACCTTGTCTGAATTAGGTCGCCGTGGTAATGTCTCCATGGAAACCCCAGATTGCATGCTGTACACACGCTGTGGTTCTGCACCCCACCTGTCGCATGCCTTACTCGGTGGCATTGATGGAGTACCGGCTGTCACTCATATACCATTACCGACAATGTGAGTCTTTGGACGGCATGGTGGCATTCAAGTTCTTGGTCATATTTACAACCTTGGTATATGATATGCATTAATTTAATAATAGTTTTGGACTGGCAGAGTTGTACGCATAATGCTAGCACTGCATTAAATATTAATTCACTTATTAAATACCAGGAGATTCAATTAAGATCCACAAGGATTACTGTGAAATACATTTGTAAATCAGACTAGATAAAAGGTGGCAAAATTAGGGACCTGGCGACTAAGGTCATAAACGATGAACGTTCGCTCGTTGTCAAAATGACCACACAAAACCTGTCCTGAAACTGATCCTTGTTTGTCAGCTCTTTTCACTGCTAATGATTCTTTACTGTGTGTCTCTGTGGGATTTGGAACAAACTATCCATTGTATCATCCAAACTGAGAGAGTTGCCATACAGTTTTGTGCACTTTCTGACACAGATAAGGTGTGTGTACTCATGTGCTATGTATGTATTATCAAACTGATTTATATGGGGGTTCCTGTACTGTTAAGTATCCATTATATTAAGGGAGTAAATATGTGCTTGGCCGGTCTTAAACGTGCATTTAAAACTGGCTCTGGAGAACGAACATGACTAATGCCCTTGCCTGCGCCTTGGCCATTATCAGTGTTCATTCTCCTGAGCAAGGTCTTAAACAGTATTTAAACACTTATTTATTCCCATTCATTAATACCTTTTTATTCAGAGAGTTCAAAGAAGTCATCATATGATAGATTTCCAATAATTTGGTTCTAACACTTTACTTTCACTTTCCTGAACACCCTCGTCCATTTTATGGACCCTTTGAAAGTTGTCCAGAGGAATTCCCTTCAACTTGGTGTGCTTGGCGCGTGGCCTGCACACAGACTTCCGACCTATCAGACCTAATTCATTTGTCTTGCATCCATGTGCCAGTGCAGGATTTACGCAGTAGGCATTATCACTTCTCAGCGGGCATTGTACACGGTCACGTGACACGTTCTGACTAATAGGGATAGAAAAACTGTCCCAGGTATTTATGAATGTTGTATATAATTATGCATATAACTACATGCATGTATATATATTGTGTGTTGTTTCCAAGTCCATTTTTTTCATTTTGGTGGCAGTGTTGAGAGTGTTGAGATCTTGGAAGCTTTCGGGCAAGGGGTAGCGGCATTTACTGGGCGACCTGATGCAGTTGTGTGTACCAGCACTCAGGATCCCAGGGAGTCCACGCCAACTGGGTACAATGATAAGAACAGTGTGTCTGTTTGGGCCTCGGGCGGCAGGAGAAAGGTGAATATGTACGGCAGTGAAATGCTGATGCAGTTCTCTTGGCTCAGAGTTCTTCATTAAGGAATTATCACAAGCTTTGAGTTCCAAAGAGTGACGTCATTTGAACCAGGAAGTGCAGCGTCAACAAATGGAGTATGTGGGGGCGTGTTGGTTCATGTGCACGTAGATCGGTCCCCATAGACTGTCCATGCATTTAGTTTGTGTATCCGCTCATGCGCAAAGTGACATAATGGTTGTCAGCCTGAAAAATTACTCTAGCAGACGACGCATATCTGTGGTGACCTATGTGAGAGATTTGTCCTGCCATTTCCCTTGAAGACCTTGTGTGTGAATAATTGCTAAGAATCTATCAAATGGTGATATTTAATAGCTTCTGGTAAGAATGATCGCCGGAAAGTAATCAAAGAAACTGGAAAATGTAAATTTTACGACAAAGTACCGGTATAATTATGAAAAATATTGTTTCTTTACCTAACTTTGTGTATAATTTTCACAATTTTGCCGAGTTTACCTTCAAATAACTTTGATGCCATAAGAAAGAATAGTAACTGTTAATGTATGTACAAAAAAGGTTATTATTTCTTGGAAGAAAACCCTTTTTTTGAAATTCACTCCGTTTTTCATTGGGACCTGTTTCGTTATTTTCCTTGTTTTCACCTTACATAGTGCCCAAGTTTCACACTTTTGTTGAATTCCCCGCAAATCATTGGTGATACTGTCTGGAAGACTGATACATTTTTTGTATATATCAGCTCATTTTTTTCAAGATCGAAAGCCTGAAATGCCTTGTCTGAAATGCAGTTCGTTTTTCATGCAGATTCAAATATTCCGCTCTGATCGAGTTTGGCAGCGGTCAAATATGAGATGTCCGTATTTCGGGCATGGTGCACACATGTACCTGGATACAAGTGCGTTTGGGTAGGAGTTGACCTACTGCATTGCACGAATACGTACATTCGCGGAAAATTGCCCGACTAAAAGGCACAAACAAAAAGTTTCCATTTTAAACCATACGGTTTCCTTCTTAGAGTATAATACTGTCTCATTAGAGTGTTCATGATATTCTTCACCATTCACAAATAGAGAAATGTCAGGGAAACTCGGCCAGCAAAACTGAAAAAATCCCTTCTAAAATGTTGACTTTCAACTTTTGACTCTCTTACTTTGGAAGTACATGTACATGACGAAGACGTCTTTGTCATGTACCTCATGTCATTTGCCCATCCTACTAATGGAAGCACTGAAGTTCTGACCCCTCTCCTACTCTCAAATTTGTGGATGTGCCTCTACCTTGACACATTACTTCCATGTTGTGGTTGGCAACCACTTTAGAATCACATTTCAAACCAAGACCTGATGATTTGCAATTCTGATTGTGCAAGCCGCTATAAATTGTCATTGACTTGACTTTATTGGTGTGCTATCCAGCTGACGGTTGAGGGATTCCTGGATCTTCAGGAAGCCCTGCAGCCTGACTGGATGGAGGCTCTGGCCGACGGAGACACCCCAGTCAGTTCCTCCACTAAACGTGTCAAGAAGTCAGTTGACAGGACCTTGGAGTTCCTTGACCAGTGCCTGGACGCCCAGCGGAGAAGGCAGGTAAAGGCTCAATTAAAAACCCTTGGTGTTTACTCTGAAGCCTTTCTAAATGTGCTGATATTTGTCGGCCTATTGCCATGGAGCAAATGAGTGGAAGACATTGCAGAAGTTATGTTCTCAGCAAAGATGACACTTTTCAGCTTATTTGAAATTTTGGCTGGTGATCACTTCTTTAAAAGTACTTTCATGTGCCTAATATTTATCTGCCAATATGTGCTTGGCTCTACAAAAATGGCCTTGGGCTCTAGTGTGACAAATTGATTTTAAGTTATGCCCATGGGTAGAAAAGCATTTTAATAAGGATTAAATTTATGCATTTTTGACCTCTGTCCCACATTCTATTCCTGAAATACAGTAAAATTTAGAATTGATCTCTAGCAGATGTATGGAATGGTCTGTTATACAGAGGGAGAGCATGACTTACGGGCCTTTTTTGCAGAGTGGGTCACATATACACCGTGGTTTCTATCCGTGGTCAGTGTGCCTACATGTAGATAGATGAATGTTTTATCAGCCATTCTGTGTGGCTCGCAAGATATTTTGGTCTTATTAACTGCACTCTAATGTATATCAAGTTATCCAAATATTGCGGTATGGTGGAAATTGAGCATGGAAACTATGCACATGTACATAGGGAATTTTTTGGACTTGTTTTCTCCAAAAGCAGAAACTCAGGGACATTGATGTTTTTGGAGTGATTGAAGGTGGGGAGCTGCTTGAGGAGAGACTAAGGTCAGCTTGTGAGACAGCCAAGAGACCTGTGGCTGGGTTTGTCCTGGATGGTTTCCATGAAGAGTCGATGGATGACAGGGCCAGATGGGGCATAATGAAAGCTGTGTTGGTAAGCCATGTTGAAAACTACTGTTCAGTCTCTCAGTACTTGTTAGTTTCTGATCCTTTTATTACAGATCTTGTTTTCCGTATCCCTTTTAGTTAGAAGGAATGTGTGAAAAACTTTGGCTCAAACTTGACCACAGTGCCCATTGCTACTGGATTTGAACCAGCGCTCTGATCATGGCAAGTTTGGCTGCTAAGTCATTAATACATATGCATTTAAGCAGGTCCTGGGTGTAAGTCCCAGCTGAGCAGGTGTGTGACTTCTGTCTTAAATATGCTCAGATGTCTCTGAGCGAGTGCCTGTCAAATAATGTCTGGAAGGGCAAAGCTTAATGGAAATACAACGTCCTTGTCAATTCTGAGATATTGCCCTGAGCTATTGAAGGTTAAACCTAATCGTATCTGGAGAGGTACATGTACAGTACCCTACTGAAAATATAAAGAACAATGGTCTGTTATCAGGTTATATGGTTCTATGGCTTTACTTTGTGAAATGCTGTGTGACCTCTCTGTTCATGTAGACATTCTGTGCAGTATTGGTCTAGCTAAAGACTTATTCTGGGTTGCTTGCTACATTCACTTTCTCAGTATTTGCAGTGAATGTGACCTTGCAAGTGTTAGAGTTTGTCCTCTGTCATCAGTCAGATGAAGAAATACAGAAAATATTAAGGGAACTTTTTCTAATATTGATATAATAGGATGAAATTCCTGAAGACAAACCGAGGTGCCTGCCCAGAGTTGGCCGACCTGACGAGGTGTTGGATGCTGTGGAGCTGGGAGTGGATATATTTGATTCAGTGTATCCTTGGAACCTTTCTAAAGTTCAAAGAAACCATTGCCGTGCCTGATAAATTCTGTAAAGTCTTGATAATGAGTCACAGTTTGTTACACCTGTATCAACCAGGAAGGTCTCAGTGAAATTCAAGTATCCATTTCACTTTTTGAAAAAGATATTGATATCTTTGCTGTTGTCTTTTTCAGTTAGAAATTTCGCAGATGTACATGTACAGTTCATGTTTGACTCTGTGCACATACAATGACATACGTGTACATGATGTTTGGTTTGGTATGTGGCACTGGTTGCATAATCAGCATGTGTGTTGAAAAGTCTGCATTCCGTAGTGAATATTCCATGTATCATGTGAGCAAAGTTGTCATTAATATTATTTGAAGTCAGTGCAGTATCTTAAAGAAGTGTTCAAATAAGTTAGCAGATAAAAATTTACCTTTGAAGTTTGAATTGTTTGTTTGACTTGGGTCCCTCATTATCATAACAGATTAAATTTCCGGCTTGCGTGATCCTTAAGCAGAGCTGAATCAGCTTTCCATATGATGTGACAGAGCGGGGTTGTGCCTTAGTGTTCTCCTTCATGCCTGTGCCGTCGGCACAGAACGATGATATTGTCTCGAGACCTGCACCTGATGGCCCTGTATCTGGTGCGGTGGCAGACAGAGGTGGAGGAACCACTTGTGATTTGGAAAGACAGGGCGGGAACGGGGATTTGAACGGCAGGACAGTGTATGAAATGAACCTTTCCGATCAAAGGTAATGGCTGAGTAGGACTTACGCATATTCATGAACTACTGCATGAACTGTATATCGTGACTGTGCTACCGTATATTACCATTATCATGTATATTGTGATGTACTATATTACCACTGTGCCATTTATTGTGAATATACTACACTACATTGAATGCTGTGGATTCTTTGTGTCTAATTTTCCTCTTAGATACGTGGATGACTTCACTGCTGTGGTTGTGGGATGTCAGTGCTATTGTTGCATCAATCACACGCGAGCCTACATCAACCATCTTATCAATGCCAAGGAGCTGCTTGCGAGAGTACTGCTTATGATGTGAGTATTACAGTTTGAGATCGGACAATGACATAACCTCTTCACATTTTCCTCATTAACATTTACGTTCATGCATTACTTTAAACTTCAAAAAGGGCCTTTTTGTGTTGAAAAATCTAAAACTGTAAAGAGCTTGGCGTGATTTATGATGTCATGTCAGTGTCATGTAGAGCAAATGATTTTCCATTTCAAAAATGGGCATTTTCCGTTTTTTGTAATCCCGAATTCTGCATCAGAAATTCAAATTCCTTTTCAAACCTTCGTAAGCATGAAATTGGAGAGTAAGTTTTAAACTATGCATCGAAACCATTTGCCCAACCACACGCCCCCCCCCAAAAAAAACAGAAAGAAAGAAAAGAAACAAAAATAACAACAGTATTGTTTGGGAATATTCTGAAATCTTTCCAACTTTTTCTATAATTTTTGCAGTGAAAATTTAAAAATCCAGACAAAAAATACTGCTCACCCACCCCTTGATTTCCTACCAGCGTGCAATCGCCCAAAACTTGCTACGATTAATCAACGGACAATTCATGTGCCACTCCTCATGTATGAAATCAGATTACATACTGTACGTCACAGAGTAGGTCTTGCTTGTAACATTTGTTGATCACAATATGTTAATGTTGGACATTGGCTTGCTATTTTATTTGGCAGATGTGCGACAAATTCAGAAAGTTAACATTAAATCTGAGCCTTAAAATGTATGTTTGTGACTGAAAACTTCACTCTTTATGAACATTTCCGAGGGCCTATTCAGCTATGGTACACCAAGCTTACTAGGTTTCGTTTAATTCAAGAAATGTGTAATTAGTCTTCCGTTTGGCTTCTGCGATTTTATCGTTTTGCCATGCGATAGTAGCCTTGGCTCACAGTGTCCATGCGGATTCACAAACTAAATTCCCCACATGTGCAATAGTCATACATGAGTAAGAACTTGTTTGTGCCTTGATTTCATTGCTCGTACGGTGCGCGTGTGAACGGCCAATCTGTGTATACACAATGTACCGTACCGCACCACTGCTGTGCCGGCTGCCGCTGCACGAATGGGGCTCACGCACGCCATAGCGCTTACAAGTATCGGCACCGGCCCTGTGCGGACGACCCAATCATGTGTTGGAGTGGTGCAATTTAGCATGTTTCCAGTGGAATTCGTTCATTAAAAGCAAGCATTTGAAAAAGGTTTGGTAGGCATTCATTTTTTAGTACTTTGCAGAAAATTTCTTTACTCTTTAAGCCATTCTTAGAGGAAAATTTTGCAAGTTCCGTTTCAAGCAGTGGATTCCATTTCAAAGTGTTGACTCTGCGAATTCCGTCCATTTTCCTCGATTGTGGAAAATCATTGGCTCGAGTCATGCCACAAAGTGTATATCTATTCTTCAAAGGCCACTTACTGTAACACTGATAACCATAATTTTGGTGTCTTTAAAAAATTTTCTGTGAACCCTAACCTTCCCAGATCCATTAAAATCTGAGAGATATTTATGTCAAGGATTCTGCAGACTTTAATGTAGACCCAGTCTCTATCACCTTCCATGGGCTTGATTGTTTCTTGAAGGTTGCAGGACAGAGAATGTGCTATTGGTTCCTTCATTTTTGTGTACATTTGAGAATTCAGGAAAGTTCTTGGCCAAAAAAAACCACTTGAACTTAACAAATTAACTATTGCACACCCATCAGTTATTCTGCTCAGGTACCCCTTTCAGAAGGGATCATCACTGCTTGAGAATTTCCTATAAAATAAGTAATAGAGTGATTTTACTGCCCACCCATGGGACCAAAATCCTAACCCACTGGGCTATAAACATGCGACTGAAACGAAAGAGAGGGCTTGTGGTAACACTGTGTGACTGAAACTACATCTACCGTCAAGGGGTGGAGTGCTTAGTTGACAAGTGTATTAGTCTCATGACGTAAACTAAATTTTTGGGGTTGTTTTGGTTTTCCACAGACACAATTTCCATCATTACTTCCGGTTCTTCCGAAGTATACGCAAGGCATTACAAGATGGAACCCTGCAAGAGCTAAAGGCAGAGATCAACAACTGTAGGTGATGCCAGCTTCATTGCGAAACATTAAAAACTGTGTGAACCATTCGGGACCTCATTGGACTTTTGACTTTACAGATATGACACTTGAGGTAGTGAAGATTTCATTGATAAATCTGTGCAGGGTTCATTGGGATTATTGTAATGTCAGGCTTGTGGGAGACATCTAGTTTGGACTAGTCGCATTAGTAGCCATGATGTCATTCAGAGCTGACCAGCTTTTACGTGACATGACCGACTTGTCATTACATGAACCAGCTGTGGTTGTCACTTTGTTTAATATGGTAATGGACATCATTTAGCTTCTGTGAGCCATCCTTTTTTTCTGGGTTTCCTAGCTTCGCACAGTGCGAAGATGTGCAAAGATGACTCTTCCCAGGCCGCATGAAGACAATTAGTGCAGTACTCACAAGCTTGTTAACTCCTGATGTGCGCAAGAGTAATTGAAATTACCCACTTGCAATTACTTGTCTTAGCCCATAAGCGTTGAACCTGTCGTCCAGTCAGTCATAAGAAATGGCATTCTCACTTTGTTTTTAATAGAAAATGACTTCTTGTGACAGGGCACAAGAAGTCATTGACTACACAAGAAGGACTTGAATACAGTGCTGTCTGCCTTAAGTCTCTTAACCACAGTAAAGTGAAAGTTTATGTACTGTTCTCTGGTTGTGTGATGTGCCTCACCCCATTGCGCCTTGAAATAAGAGTCAAACTCGTGAGTTTTATTATCAGCTACAGCCAAGTTTTTGAATGCAGTGTAAAGGACAGGGTAACCACAGTGACTTAATGCTGCAAAAACGACCTCTTGTGTCCAGCAAGGAGTTTCCTTGACATTGAAATACGTTTGTGAAGTGGGTAAAAATCAGTTTCAGATGTGTGAAAAGCACTCAGTTGTTTATCATAGACTACTGCAGACTTTCAAGCTTTTTAATAGAGAATAAAGCTTTATGTATGATTTTCCTTATTATTTTCATAATGTCAATGGAAACACAAATCAATACTGAGTAACATTACAATGAATATCAAAGTCATAACTTAACTGAGTCAAGTTTAAATAGTAACACGAAACAGTATTGCATTCAAAAAGCAATAAAATGCCAAAAGAATCAAGAAATGTTTGTACATACTTTGTCCCTCAAGTCAAATAAGACAGTGTCGGCTTTACTTTACTGTGTCTGTCAAAATCCAACATCAGAATTGGCGTAGTGTTAGACAGGTACCTGAAAATGGCCACAAAAAGCCTGGATTCTCCAGTTACTGTACACATGGCTCTCCTCCCATTTTGTTTGAGTGCTTCAAATGTACTACTGCGTTATGCAGTTTTGGATGTTGCTACTAGTTGATGGACATTTCTTCAAAAGACACCGAGAGAGAGACAGAGTTCAGGTTAAATAATAACCCATGTTCTGTTAGTTCCCATTCACTGGCTGCTTTGAGAAAGCTTGCTCCATGTGTGCTGCTCGGACAGGTGTTTAGAAGAAATTGTGTGCAGCTTGTCTGTTCAGTCGATAGAGAGGTTCTCATTTCCCTTCCATTGTACAGGCTGAGATTTATATCCAACCCCATGTATCCACAAGAACTGACAGAATGTTCATGTACAAGAGTTAAAACTCTTGTCTTGACCATTTGCTTTTGACTTTGTACATGTGTATTTGATGGACTGGTACATGCAATACACAGCTACATGCAAGAACAAATTAATTTTCTACATATACGCAGCACAGAAAATATGTGAATTTTTTGATCAGCAACACAGCACACCTAAAGTCTTGTTGGGAGTAAAAGGAATGTCTTGATCGTTGGGTAAATCTGTTTCAAATATATCACAAACCTTTAAAGTAGATTTGTTTCAAATATGTCACAAACCTTTAAAGTGACTCCAGTGAGGCAATGCTGTTGTGCTTGTGCACCCTCTTGTATTGCCCTTTGATGGAGAAAGCCGAGAGGAACCATTCGGTCAGCATGGACACCAAGTCGTGGTCCTTGTACCGGACAAACTCACTCCTGGCTGCAGAGTAGCAGTGCAGCAGCATGGCAATGAACAGGTTGACGATGACTGCGATCAGGAAGAAGTTGGCCAGCGCAAAGAAAAAGTACGCCTGCATCCCAAACGCCTCCATGATGTCCAGCATGTCGCTGTACCTGCGGAGGATGAGCATGAATACGCACTGGATGGATCGCAGAAGGTCGCAGAAATCCCTGAACTGACGGCCAAAGCTGAGGTAGCCGTAGTATGCAAATGCCACAAAGGTGACAGTCAACATGGACAGGTATATGAGGAGAGTCTTGGTGAGTCTGCGGAACGTGCTGTGGAGTAGGTACATGCTGTCATTGTAGTGGAGAATCTTGAGGCACTTGAGGAGGCTGCAGAAGGCCACGGAAGCCAGGCTGGTGACCAAGACGGAGTCCAGGACGACTATATCGGCGAAGCTGAGATGCATGTTGTGGTTGGCTTTGTACAGCTGCATGATGTTGTTGGCTAAGACGTGCTGCCATATGTATGCTGTGGTTGCTGTGAGGAGGACATAGATGAATGGGCATTAAGTTGATGTCTTTGATCTAATGTGTTGGAAATTTAACGCCTGAACACCATGCACTGAAAGGTTTTTGAAATTCTACAAAATCAGCCAGTGAAAGAAGCCATCTTTCCCAAACCAGGCTGAAGTAGGTAATTATGATGTTCAGCAATTCCTCTCCCCATTTTCTGTACACTTCAAGGTGATCCACGAACATGAAGTGGAATTACCACTACCGTACTTCAGGAATATGAAGTTAATACCTACTTCAGTCTGGTTTTGGAATGGTGGGTCACATGGTGTTATCCTGCTGGTAAGTGTTACGTCAAAGGAGAAGATGATATTGATCAAGTGAAAAGTCTATAGAAACAATGTGACTGTAATACATGTATATGCAAAAATAACAATGGAGACTCAAAAACTTACAGCCATGTTTGTTGTGATGGATATATGCACTCTCAGTACAAACTTCAAAAGAGAAGCACTGAATGGAAACTTGTTCGTGTGAAATTGATCAGGTTGCATGGCACTTATGAAAACAAATAATATACATTTTAAGGAGCAATTGAAATAAAGTTTGCTGTACCTGAAATGGATAGAATAATGATGGCAATATTTAGGACATTCCAGAATGCCCAGTATTCCCTGCGATTGTTCTTCCACTTGAGAACTTCCATTCCCATGATGACAGTAACAACCATGACATACAGCACTTCCAGAATCACCACAAACTTGTCATACTTGTTGGTGTAACGGTAGATGCAAACAATCGCAAACTCGTGAGAGGGCACCACGGTGGTGGTTCCTTCGGCGCGAAACACAACAGTGCACGCGCAGAAGAGGTTTGTGTTGGCATTGTAAACCACCCACTCCAGGATTATCGCCTGGGTGTACTGATCGACCCAGCCCAAGTCCTGCAGGAGGGCTGTCTGATTGGCTGTGGAGGCCCGAGTTGTACCAAGATCCAGAAGGAAACCCCCGCGGTTGTAGCGCCCGGGGTCTGTCAGGAAGTAGCTCCCCTTTGCCTGCCAGTGGGACTGGTAGACCCAAGGACTGCGGGACTGATGCTGTGATGTGTTATTAGATGACAGAGGCTGAGTCCAAGATGCATTGTAAGCACCTTGGTCCAACTCAGTGCCACGGACAGCATAGCATCCAGGACGCAAGTATCGGTAAGTGTCTAGCTCCCTGCAGTGTTGTAAGTAGCCTGGTGCATCACATTGAAAAATTTGGAATCATGAATCACAGTTAAAGTTAGAGTGACACATTGGCTCTTTAACTTGCAAGAAGGTCTTCAGATTTCTATTGAATAACACACTGACTCTCAGTCTAGGCAGCTCATTGGTGAATATGAAACGAGCAAGAAAGATATTGACACATACATGTATTGGGTAAAAATGAAGGGCCAATTTCCTTGGAATATTTGTATGAGTAGCAAATAGTTGGTCAGATTTAAGCCCCAAATTTGGGCTAAAGCTCAAACTTTCATGGCCCGAACGAGTGAATGCTTGCACATACTTGAAGATCGTAAGCTTTTTGTCTTTGTTGTCGTAGAAAGACCTTTGCTTGAATATGTTGTCAATTGCTGCACGTACATGTTAATTGTTCCAGCGCTCATCAAATAAACCATGGTGCTATTGGCAAGAAACCATGAATTTGGAATGCAATCTTGTCAGCATTTCAAGTCAGGAATCATTTTCAATAGCACATACTGTACCTATCTCACAAATGTGAACGTGTCAGATTTGATTTGTCAGTCCGTTGTATGGGACTAGCATGAACTATCAAACTGCTTGGAGTTCAAAGTTGGAAAGTTGGACTCACCTGGTTTAACTCTCTGCTGGCGTAATCTCGGGCTGCCCACAAGAAGGGATTCCTGCAAAGCAGTGCCAGGCTCGGCTTCATACAGACTTGGAGCAAATTCACCCTTTATCCATGTGTACACATCTGGCATTGTTTTTACCTGGACGTAAATGGAGAATGTCACAAGGGTAAGTAGACTTCATTTACAATCATGTACTTTTGGGCCAACATTGTCTGTCATTAGGTATAAGGTACACTTTTTTGTTAAATAATTGTTTGTCTTAGTATACAAAGGTGCAGACTATGAAACCATTCCTTGGTTTCATTGTCGCTTTAACTGACCGTGAAACGGCTCCACACAAAAACAAGTAGCAATTCATACATGTACGTCTGCAACAAGATTGAACAGCTCAGTTAGTTGCCAAAAGTGCAAAACATTGTTGAAGCAGCAGGTTCAAATCCTGTTGTGTTTTTTTCCACTCAAGATTGGTGACAAGAATACCCACTTAGTTCTATGCTTCAAAAAGATTATTTGATCCTGAGCATACACGCTTTTGCTGTACTACATGTATTTATTAAACTTACACATGTACATTCCTACACAAAATGAATGCCAGGATATGCATGTTGATGATGCTGCAATACCTGGTCGAGTTTTGTCGTGAAGCTACTCCTCATGGCCAGGCTGAGGTAGATGCCAGCAGGATCCCGCTGGGCAATGCTGACCTGCAGCACCAGCCAGATAAACACCAGATGGCCAAGGAAGGCCTTGATCAGGGAGTACATCTTCCTCTCTGCGTGTCGCTTCTCTCGTGCTTGCTCCACGGCTCGGCCAGTGGGAGGCTGGTAGAAGTGGGAGTCTCTGTGCTTGCTCTGGGTGCTAGTGGTGCTGGACTGTTGGCCACCTTTGATCATGAGATATAAAATGAGATTTTGTCTTTGAACAAAACTATCATTGACTTATAAATCGAAGATTGCTGTATGTGCCTTGTGTTTGACAAAACTTCCCTTTTTTTCTCCTATTTACACTGTAAATGGCACAATTTATTATTTTATTCTTTGTGATTTATTTGCCCTGGTAATTTTTTTTTTTCAAAAGGAAAAATTAGGTGTATGATTTACATTTACTGATACATGTACATTATACATTTAACATAAAAGGTCTCAGTAATAATTCTTTGCCCATCACAAAAAGGGAGACATGCTTAAATCATTCCATATGTTACCTGCAAACAAATTCATGTGGCTCTTTGCCAATGAGGATTTTAATTATGAAAGCCCAGCTCTTCAACAGGGTGTCGTGCAGACGTTGACATGTTTAAAACAATACTGAAGAGCAAACATTACAAACTCTCAACCACTTTCCTTGGTGATGTCATGTGTTAAGCTGTTTTATAAAATTTGTCTAGATTTTTGCACTGTCAATAACAGTGACTGGACTCGAAATTCAACACTTTGTTAATTCTCACCTGCATATATCTTGAGCTGCTTAAAGAATGTCACTCCAATTTCGTCGTAATCATAAGATTTCAAAACAATGGCAAAAAAAGCCGCTATGGCAATGACCTTCACTGGTTGGATCACAACAATGCTTTGGAACAGTGAGACGATCATGGAGACCAGCCAGTCCAGGGACTTCTGCTTGCCAAAAGTCAGGCCATAGAGAATAATCAGATAAGCAGCAAACAGACTGGAGGATATGGCAAGGAACCAGCCGATGTAGACCCACCACCATGGCAGAAACCCCCTTCCACTGAACAATTTCTGCACCTTGTCTTTTTGCTCTGGCAGGGTCTCATTTGAACTCTCCGACCCCGATTCCCTCTCCCTTTCCTCTCTCCAGCCATGCAGGGCCAGTGCCAGTTTGAACTTGCGCAGGGCCTTCTGCCGGTCCTGGTCACTCCTGAAGAGGCCTGGCGAAGGATTGTGAAGCTGTTCGTACAGCCGATTGAGACGGGAGCTCAGGAAGTCCTGATAAGACGTATAAATGACTGAGTCAGACGAGCCTGGATCAATGGATGACTCCTCGGATGGTGAAATGAGAATCTTGATGCTGCTGGCACTGCAGGAAGTTGTGTTGGACTGTGAAGAGCGCGGCTGTATGCTCGATTCACTACTGGATGAGTTGTGGTTTGCATTGGAGTTTCTGGCTGTTTTGGTCAGTTCTGTCATGTTGGTCGACATTAAGGCTTGATCACACTCTGGCAACAGGTCTAGCCGGAAAGCTTGTTGAGCATGTATGCTTGAAGGATTCCTTTCTAACGGTATCATACTGTGCCAGCTGCCAGTTTCCAGTGACCTGTGGCTACTTGCATTGGCACTTGTACAAGTACTTCTCAGATATACAAACTCTGCATACTTATCAGTGTACTCCTCATATGCTTTGTCACTGCTGAAAATGTCTCTCTCTGGCAAAGACTCACGGCTGGCAAGTGGTTTGGTGTCCTCCCTCCTGGGGTTTTGTGGTTGACTTACTTTGTGTTGTGTAGAGCCTCTTGATGCTGACTTTGGCATGCTTGAGGTTTGAGACTGGATGCTTGAAGACCTTAAGGAGGCATCAGTGTCAGCACATCCTGCTTTTGAGAGATTTACACCTTGCGGGTCCAAGCTACCTTTGTCCTCCTGCTCTTGATAAGTTTGATCTTGTGAATCTCCCGACTCGCTCGCAGGTACAATCTCTACTTCCTCTTTCTCCCTTGGTCTGGCCTCCCTGAAAATCTGCACAATTGCCAGGTTGATAGGTAATGCCAGCAGGCTCGCCTCGGTTGCTATTACGATGGTCTTAACGGAGAGGCTCATCACCCCAAAGTTGTAGGTCTTATCAGGCTCCCCCTCGCCGACCTTGTAGAACATTATGTTCATCAGCATGGAGGACAGGAGGAGAGAAAAGCAGCAGGCCACACGCTGGAGCCGGGTGAAGCTGCTGCGGGGAGGCCGGGACAGCACGGACAACCATAGGTGGTTGTCCTTCATGTCCCGGACGCTCCTGGTGAAGAACAAGTGGTGGAAGTCCTTCAGGTCCTCTGTGTTAGCCACGGGAAATGTCTTGTCAATTTTGCCATCACTGAGATCGACTGCAATCCAGGTGTGGCACAGGAAATACCACCAGCGGTCTGTCTCTAGATCATGGACCAGGATGCGGCTAAGGTACCTACAAGTAAGAACAAACTATCAATGAAGGAATCTCTGCAGGAGGTCCCAAACAAGTAGGTGTGGCCCTAAAAGTGTATCCACTTGTTAGAAAACATCCTCCATACCTGAGAAAATTACATATTTCTCGGGATTATGTAATGATACTCTGAAAGAAAGGTTATAAAGTTAATGTGAACCTGAATATTGCACAAACCTATCATACGCAAAACTCATATGAAGGGCTGTAAGTACAGACTTTCCCTCTTCTTACCATGCAGGGCTGCTGCCTCCATTGTCATGCCACAACCGTACCGATCGTAGTATTCCCAACGATTCCCTTGTTGTCAGCAGGAAAGAATCAACGCTGCTCCTCTGTAACACTTTGTGATGTTCTCTGTCACTGGACAGCACATGTGGCTCACTGTTTCCCACGATGCCTTGAAGAGTCAGGGTGACGACGGCTGTCGTGCCGGCCCCTCGACGCACCCCAGTGAAGACAGTGACGTGATAACGGTAGGTGTCCTCTTGATCATTATCTGCCAGGATTATGAGTCGAGCCTGGGCCACAAAGAACGTTTGTGGGGATTTTTTACAAATGCATTATTCCCTGGCTGATGTCAGCTGACAAAAGGGCATAACGATTTTCGGTGCATAGCAAAATTGATGTTAAAACTGTGTTTGAAACAAATGCTACACTGAGGTTTTGCATTTCATCATGTTTTGAGTGTCTGCAGTCATGTTTTGAAAGTTTGTTGTCATAGGTTTATTGTTCATGTGATATTTGAGCAGAACAGTGTTAGCTGCAGCTTGGTAAATGGTAAAGATTTTCGTTCTGCCACTGATAATCTACGTTGTTATTCCATGAGGCCAACATTGACTTTCGGCCAAGCCAAATGACATGTCCCAAATTTTTAATTGAATGTGTAGAAACCCTGAGTGTTTGTTTGAAAAGAATACACCTGAAAGCAGGCAGACATAAATATGGCACTCAATTCTTAAACCTGGACCGAATTTCATGGCTCTGCTTACCACAGACTGATACAGAAATCAGCAATTAATTTCGAGTTGTGGGATTTACATTTACGTACCGGTATGTACAATGTATGTATGTATGTATGTAAACAGAATATTCTGCTGTGGTTGGCAAAAACCTTTGTTTACGGTATGTAGTACCATCAAATTGGGCTCTGGCTTGCATTTACTTTATTGTAGCAAATAAATCACACATTGAAACTACCAGTGTTGTAGTTGGGTACACGTACATTACATTTCTAGTATCAATTTCTCTGCCAAATGTCAAACTAGTTAGGAGGGAGTAAGACTTAACTTTATTTTATCTCACATTTGTACATTTACCGCCTAAATTTTCCCCCTAACCAGTTCAATATTGTGCAGTGACCTTCAACTTGGTACTTGGAAAGCACTTGACTAAGACAATAAAAATATCCCTACCTTCTCTCTTTCTATACGATCCTTCCTGTGTGCCCACACTGCGCACAGCCCAAAGAGGACAAACACCACGGCAACCGTTACCACGGTGATGGGATTATCTGGAATGGTGGCAAACAGGGAAAAGTCCGTCAGGTCAACTGGATTTGGGAGAACCAGGAAGCTGGCTGCAAAGGATGTGAGGTGGTTGCACAGGCAGTGGGTCTGGGCTGCAGTGGTGAAAGGACCAACCTACGGAAAGAAACATAGTACATATGCATGTCCATGGTAAGATAATGATATACTGATAATAATGTCAAGCATTTAATTGGTTAAAGTTACTGAGTGGCTTATAGGAAAATCTTTGCTTGACAACACACAAACTTGATACATTGGTGATGAATCCCAACGGACATGGGCGGAATATAATGTGTGTGTACATACATGTACCACACTAGCATTACATGGACATACATTTGTGTTAAGAGAGTAAATGAGTTTTGCTAGCTGAAAATTTGCGAATGTGGTTAAGCTTGTAACTTATAATCCGACCATGGCACTGTCACATTTAAGTACCCTTTGCATAGGAATGTGGGCAGCAGCAACCAGCGGGGGACTAAGGTGATTTCTTTGTGAAGAATTGTTAGTGCTCATCATACTTTCAAAATGATGCCACCACCTTTCTCAGAGGGAGGTTAGAATTCTTTTAAAAATGAAACCAATTTGAACCACTTTTTCTTGAAAAATCCCATTTTTGCCTCCCCTCTGGACCAGAACTTGGATATGCCAATGAGTGTAACAATTCATGAACAATATCCGGTGCCTAATTTGGTTGAATCTCACCTTACAGCCGTCACCTAGCCATTCTTCTCTTGTCTTGTCCCAGAACAAACACTGTGTACTGAAAGCATACACATGATACTGCTTATTAGTCACATCAGTGCCATCCCCTCCGTCCAGTGTCAGGTAATACCTGCCAACTTCAGGTAAGTTCTCGCTCGGGATGACCCAGAGGTAAGGGTCAAAGGTCATGTTTGTGCTGTTCAGGAACACGTGGGGGTCTGTTGCAGCCCGTGGCATGGTAACAGAGGCGTTGCATAGTGGTTCAGTATCGCTTGTTGCCAACTCGAATCGGAGGCACAAATGCAGTGGAAGGACTTCTGTCAGCCCAGATGATTGGTTCAACTGGATCCTGATGATGACAGCTGCATCTGGATTGGTCACATTGAAGGAGTAGCTGTGATTGGTTTGCTGACCAGCCAGTGGTTGGAGGACTGGCATGACACTGTCGCCATTGGTTACCATTATTTCCACATTTTGTGGCAGAGTCTGTACTGCGATCTCTGATTGGTCATCGCCGTGTCCTAGTCTCAAGCTGGTCACATGAGTTGTCACCAAGCTGCTACTCTTGGCCCAAGAGAAAGGATTCTGTTGAAAGTGATGAATCTTGGAGACAACAGGGAAATGTACAGAGAAAAATTTTTTATTGTACATAAATAATTTCGATGTTGGATGGATCCTTAGCACAATAAGCAATGCAAAGTTAGGAGTTACTGCTCGGATGCCTCAGTGCCTGTTACTCATTTGGGCTCAATTCCTGACTGGAAAAAGTGGACAGTATAATTATACGCAACGATTTAGTGTAGCAGTTGGTCATCTATGCTTGGGAGGTGATCCCTTTTATAACCTAGTCTTGACTGGGCCTTTATAAACAGACTAGGACTATACGCAGCTTTTACTTCAGTAATCTACTTTGTTGATGTCTATATACTGTCTTTGATTTGAGGTAGCCTTACAGGTCCGTTTAGACATAAGAGCATGCTCTGATAATCATACAGCTAGTTCCTGTAATTGGATAAGCATGTTCAGGCATGAAGCTACTCACAAGCAAAATGAAGTTTTACATGCAAGAAAAACTTCAAGCTGTGGCTTTTTCAGCAGAATACACCTTGCTCGATATCCATAATATGGGTGTTTTATAATCCAGCACACCTGTGTATCGATGACTTCATTATTTGAGGATGCTTGGTGCTGATCGATGACTGTGCTCAACCCTGCTGGTAAGCGGAACACCACGTCTGAGTTCTCAGTCTGCAACACCAGCCCATCCAGGCCTCTTTTCTCTTGCCTCTGTAGGATAACTGACAGGGAGCTGGTCTGCAGGATGGTGGGTTGCTCTCCGGGCACCTTGTTGAGCAAGATGGCAGCCTGCATGTCGTCCAGGGCATGGAGGGAAGCCATAGTGACGTTACGAGTCTGGTGAAGAATTGCACGAGAGAATTTGGAGCATGCAGCCATCAAATGCAGGCAGGACACAATTTCAATCTGTTCAATAAAAAACATTGTTTTGCACAGTTTCTGAATGCTAAAGTGTGCAATTTTCAAAACGAAAATTATCAGGAACTATCTGGTTCTGAGAAGATATGAATGACTTAGACATGTAGTAACAGTAGAGATGCTGTACCTGCTGGGTTCTCTCACTCTCAAAAATTGGCCCGTAGTCCGAAACATTTCCACTTTGTGTAATGGTGGCAGAACTCATGATGTTGGACAACCCTGATACCATAGACCTGATAGGATAGCATAAAACAACGAAAGATGAATGTGCAGATACATAAACATCACAGCTTTGTGTTGTTGATCATATCTAAATGAAGAATAGTGTACGATGAACACAGTGTGCAGACACAGCAGACAAGCCCAAGGCACAAGCTTGACCTGCGTGGGTCCCATTCCACCTGAGGCACCAATGTCAATTTCACTGGGAGGCACTTGACCACTGTTTATGCTTTCTGTACTCTATCTGCAATCCAAACTTCAAAGAGACAGCAAATCTTTGTGGTACATCACAGTATTTTGTAGCTCGTCTTTATCACAGGAACTTCTCATGTAGCACATTCAAACCCTACCCACTCAACCTGGTTGGACGTTTATTCTCAACTTCTGAAAATAAAGACTTTTCAAAACATATAAACTCTCTCAAGCATCAGCAAGACAGAGCGACTGATATAGCTTACGTGGCTGCCCCCTCGACCACGTCTCCATCCACACCCATATCAGCTTGCTCCTTCAGCCAAGATCCCATACTCAAGAAAGCAGAAGCAGTAGACACCTACACACAGAGAAATGGACCAGAGATACTTCAACTTGACCTTGTGACACCTGGCCTGTAACTGGTTGTCATTTCAGACAGCTTGAATTGAGGTTGCATCCGAAGTGGGTATTTTGTGGCAAGAGCAACAGCAGTGGTCAGTGGTGTGTTACAGAAAGTAACTGCAGTGTTAATGTAGTTCAGATTTGGCCATATATTGCATAGTAACACGAGAGGAGATATCTGCATATACAGGAGCATGGATTGGGACTTGAAGACATTCAAATATAGGGTACTGCAAGTGGCTTCTGACCCTTGCATCAAACACATGTATTTGTCACGAAACATTCCATCGACACAACTAAACAGAGATTGTGTCTGTCAGCTCTTGCACTTAAAACAATACCTGTGCTTGTGGAGATATCTCCTCAACTTCACTGGTGACCTGGGAGATGGCTGATGAAGTGAGCTGTATGGATTCCAAGCTATTCACTTTGACTTTACTCAGCATGTCGAGAAGAGACTCTCTAGCCTGTAAAACAGATGACAGAACCTGAGAAGACAATCTTTGTGATAGCTGGTAATGAGGACATGGCACAGCAGTTATTTCTGTCATAGATTCCCTGCAGGATAACAGTTATCTTGTGCTTTTAATCCGAGATATATGAAGTGCTCTGATTGACACCAAAAACCTGGCTAGATTAACCTCGTAATGTCCTGATGCTGCACCCCAGTAATCAATATTATTATTATTTATTATTATGGTGTTTTATTCAATCATCATTGCAGCCAAACGGGCTGAATCGCACATGATTTCACAAGGATAGTATTAAATACAAGAAACAATATACAAAGATATAAATTGAAAAAAAATATATATAAATACAAAGACCTGTAAAAAGAGCGAACCTCCGTGGTAATTATTATCCGTCAAGATGGTCTAGAGTCGGATGATTTTAATTATGTGTGTTCAAAAGCCTGGTAAAGAAAGGAATCAGGCTATTTTTAAACCGCTCAGTTTTACACATGACTTCCTTAAATGGGTTATGATATATTAAATTCCTAGATGTCGCATTATTTAACGTCAACCAGTGATGAAACTGGGGAGCTTTCGCTAGTGACTGAGCAAATTTTAAGCAAAGTCTAATCCTTCTATCACAGAGTGTTTCAAGTTGAACAAGGCTTAGAAGCAATTTCATATGTCCGATACTGGATGCCTAAAGTTGAATGTAATACTCATTTCTGAACCCTTTCACTTTGGTGAGTTTGGCTTCAAGTAAGAGCTGGATGCCAAACAGGTGCAGCATACTCAAGAAGTGGCTGAATGTACCCTATGTATATCATAATGAGATCACACCTAAGCAGGTTGAATGGGATCAGTTAACGTAACATATGCACTCTGATATTCGCTTTTTTAACAATTTGTTGGATGTGTTTTTCCCATTTAAGGTTAGATCGAATAAGAACACCCAGAACTCTCACAGAGTCAATTTGTTCTAATACCTGGTTGTCAATTATCAGATGGAGTGGCTGAAGAATAGTTTACCAAAATAAACTCTCATGGTATGGCATTTTTTAATATGAAGATGCATGTTATTTTCTGTACACCATTGGTATAACGTATTAAGTGTGGCTTGGGCGTCAGTGGCCGCACCCCGCTGTGTTTATTCAGCGATTGTCATGTCGTCGACATACGTCCCACACTAGGGTCCTACAGAGGCGAGAGCATCATTAATAAGAACAAGAAAAAGCACTGGCCCCAACCGTGTTCCCTGAGGAACAACTCCCGCTGTAACTGGGGACCAATCAGACAAGCAACCATGATATTGCTCACATTGGGTGCAGCTAGTGAGGAAATCAGCGATCCAAGGAATCAGCCAGCCACGAGGATTTAAATTGAGCAGTTTTGAAATCACAATGGAATGGTTTACCCTGTCAAATGCTTTGGGACAATCGGTAGTAAATAGAGTTGAGACAGAAGTTGGTTTATCAGCAGATTTTGCAAGATAATTAACAATATCAACCAAACAACAAGTAGCTGACATTCCTGGGTGACTGCCAAACTGATTCGGGTCTAGGCAATGATTAATATCGGAGAGTAACCATCTAGTAATATGCAATTCAGATATTTTAGTTAGATGATCAGTAAGTGCTTTCAAGACTTGTCCATCCAACACTGCATCCACAATGGTCCCACACTTTGGCAACTGTTTTTAGGACAGATAATCAAGGCCAGTTTGGATGACATCACAAGAGAAATTAGACTGATTTATTTCAATGAAGGTATGCAAAAAAAGTGCAATCTGCTTCCATACTGTATATAGAGGTAGTCATGTAGAGGCACTGCACTCACCCTCAAACCCTGTTGTGTAATTATAGCGAATGGGTTAATTTCATAGTTTATGAGACATACGCATTTTGCTGTGAAGGTAGTAAGTTTATTTTGCTGTTTTGGGCAAAACACTTGACATAACCTAATAACTTTCTTTTTAGTGAGTGGTTGATCACCTGCGCTCGTTTTTTCTTTTGATCCTCCAGTTCTTCCTTGTGTTTGTTCTCAACAGCCTGTTCAATGACCCCATGATCCTGATGCTGGTTGTCCCTTTCTGACTTCAGGTTCAGTAAGGAGCCGACACTGGTGATGACCTGCGTGGCTGCCTGGACATTTCCTTCTTCCATCAGCTGGTTCAGTTTGGAGTACTTGTCAGAGGTCAGTTGCAGGGCCAGTGCCTCTGGGTCATCGCTCTCCGACTCCCGTACCTACTCAAGGAGAGCCGTCATAATTAGTCCCGTAAGAAAGGGCCATTACCAAATATGTAGTAATTAATTGCAAACCTGGTTCATTTGGGAGTCTCGATCTGAGGCTAGTTGGAGGTCTAGTGCCTCCACATCAGTGCCTTCTGACTCTCACACTGTTAAGAAGTGTTAAAAACATACCGCAATTATGTTCACACTGGACCTACAGATGGGATTGATACAAAACCTGTTGTAAAACAAACCTCTGTCCAAAAGTCGCCACACCTTGTGTACATTTGTGTTTCTCTATGGTGCTCAATGGGCTGTGGGCCCCTACTAGCACACAGGGAAGTGCACATGTAAACAAAGTGTGACATCATCAGTGCATACATTTAAGTCTATTGCTGTATTCATGGGCAAGTAGTCATTTAGAGGAAACTTGAAATTTACCTGAAAATTTGCCAACCACAACACTGACACAACTACTGACGAGTGTAAATTCAGCCTTCAGTTTGCTCTTAACTCTGTGAAACTATTATTTATTTTGGCTTTGCTGTTGAAAATTTTACACTGCAGTCATTTTTTCAATTAAACATTTGCTCAACTCTCCTCAATTTGCCGGATGCCAACATGATCAGGAGGTAATAGTTTAAATGGAAATGACTCCCCTGCACACATTAAATCTACTCACTACAGCAGATAGCAATGTGTAGACACTGGCACCCAAAGAGTCGGTCACTTTGATCTTAATGTCCACCCTGTAGCCTTGGCTGGGTTGGCCGAGGGGAAGGAGGGTTGCTGGAATGTTTGGGTCCAATCCATAGAAGAGGAGAGTGTCTTGATTGAGGGAAACCGTGAGATACTATTAGTTTGGCTTGCAATTTGAATAGGGTAAAAGTGGCAGTGGCGTCAAATTAACGAAAAGCTTCCTTTTACGGTCTGTAGCTTCAAGTACACAGTTTACTGCAAGGAATATTGAAAGGTAAACCATGTTTACCAGCTTTGGTTATGCACAACAATCACAGATTTAGTATGAGAAAGTAGGTGTGAAAAGTACTTGACAGGATCACTGGATAAAATTAGGCACTTTTAGGGGGGACTTGCCTTTTCTGGATACTTGCACAGAAAAAAAAACAAGATACATGCAGATTACAAATTATAAAGCGAGCCATAAGCCCTTCAGTGCCATTGAAGTATACAGTCTTTCGAAAATCTTTCTCAAATATGTTACTTTTTGTGCTCTAACAAAATGACATCTGATAAGCTGAAGTCTCTCCATCTCAAATCTGGGACACCCGTGGGATTTAGACTGCTTGGAGCTTTTTGAGCAGCAACAGCCAAACAAATTCATACGGTTAATATCGTATATTCATTTCTACAGAAACCAACCTTCTACTGAGGCATCAGCATGAGCGCCGACCCCAACAGACCTCTCTGCTGCTTTTAGAGTGTGCACCTCGTATGTAAGTGGGGTGTGTATGTCCTCAAAGTGCTCACAGATGATGGAGAAGTGTGTTGTCAGGACAACCCCTTCTGCTGGTGTGATGGTGCAGTTGCCAGTGGTTGGAGGGGAGTTCACTGTGAATGTGTACTCTGCAAAGCTGATTGATCCACTCCTGCTCTGCACTGTGAAGTATTTAGCAATGTGAGGAAATTTAAGTTGAAGGTTTGAAGGTTAATTATGGAAAAATGTGATTTCGTGCACTTTGATCTTGATTTATGAGTGTTTTTGTTCAGTTTTTCCTTTGCTATGCATTGAATTCATACCATTGGCCTCATGTACGGTTTGAAAGGCTGTGGGCTGCCAATTGTTCTATAGGCTAATATGTTTTTCAGGTTTGGGGTTGTTAAAGCCATACGGAGATAGTCACTGGTCACATCTTTGAAGATATTGTTGTCTGGTTCATTGTGAGCTTTCCCTGCTACATATTTTTCATCACTTCTCAAATTTTCCTCCAGCAGCATGCCCTATACATGTACTTCCTATATCAGATTTATCACGACAGGGTCCATGTGTCTTACTTTGTAGGTGAATGGTGTACGTCTCCTGACTGGATCCAGAGAATGTCCCGGCGTTGATGGCAAGGTAAGGGTGATGCTTCCCAGTTGTAGTATTCCTCGCCCAGTCCAGGGCAGGTGCTGCTGTGCTGTGGTTACTTGATCTTAGTGACCATTCAAAAGAAGGCCGAGTGGAAGCTGTACAGTCAGGACACAGTCCAGCCAAGACCAGTCGGGCAGAAGGATTAAGCTGGGACCCACAGTTCATCAAACACCTGGTTGTGAAGGAGTTTTGTGAGTGATATGCTATTTACATAGATGTCTTTAAGTCAAGTTCTAAACAATACACTGGGATGATTGATTGCTACAATGCACAAGTTACCATTTCTTCAAGTGAATTAAAGGTAGATGCTTTAGTTGACACTTTTGTCTGGATTTTTATAACCACACATTTAAGGGTATATGCATGAACTCTCTTAGGAAAATGTTTACACAAACTGTTTCTTGACAAGGGTTCCTTAATCTGACCTTATGTGTGTCTTGTAAATGCAAACAATTAAGAAAAGGCTTACAGAATAAGATATTCAGGCTTTATTTACATTACCAACACAGACATTGAATTTGGAGACTAAATACATGTACATGTGTATCAGACTATCTCGGGCTGAGATAGTAGAAAGATGCCATTTTACCTAATGTAAATGCTGTTTGGATGTCCAAGAAGAATAATAATTGTCTGCTCAGCATATGCACTCTCACGACCAGTTTTCGACAGTTTCAGGAGGATAACATAACTCTGGTTTCCAGTCAGGGTTTGAGCTGGAATAACCACTGAGGTACTGGTCTGAGACAGGAGGAATCCTTTCCCCAAACAGCCACCTGAAAACAACATTTTCAAAAATACTTTCAGGTACTGTAGTTACAAACTTTTCCTTGTCTTGACAAGTATTAAGCTTGCAGGGTAACTGAAATGATATGAGTGTATTTAATATAAAATAGCTTTGTCAAATAGTGCTTAACATTGAAACTAACTGAGCAATACAAGGAGAGGACTGTATATGGCAGTTGGAAGGGAATGTGTCATACGTATACAGTGCAGTTGGGTAAAATCAAAAGTACAAGCGATCAAGTATACCAATAAAACAATGTGGTCTATAAGGCTGTGCCTGAATTACTTGGCTATTGCTTGAAATTACACATGGCTCCATGGGAACTGGCTGCGACCACTACCATAGACTTGTGCGTAATTTCAGGCCACAGCCAAGTAATTCAGACACGGCCTTATAGACCACATTATTTTACAAGCAATTCAAGCATGGCCTTAGTTCAGAATAAAACAGCACAAGCAGGTTGTGGCACTGTACCATAAATCAGACAGAAAGTCAGAACAAGTACCACTTACATGAGGACTGCAAGATATTCTGCAACATCACAGAACAGATAACTACATCATTCAGTTACAAATACCAAGAGATTTGGAAAGCCAATGGGATTCTAAGATGCTAACCTGTGGAGGGTAGTCTGTTATGAGGAGTGAGTGTCATGTTCTCAGGGAAAGGCTCATTAGATTTGCGACAATACCACGTGTAACTGAGTCCCAGCGATGCCCTGTCTGGCGTCTGATCTGGATCAAAGGAGTCTGAGGCATCCAGAGTGATGTTGGAATACCAGCCTGTACCAACAGTGAAAGATTATTGCAAATTAAAATTTTATACCACTGTGTGGCAAGAAAGCTTTTGGGTCTTTCATGAAAAAAGGTCAGTTTCTTGATCACAACCTCCATGTCTACATGTACCAACACATATGCTTGTGCCCCAGCTGTGCAATTTATCATACCAGTAGTGAAAGGAACTTTCAATATTCCAGCCTACATGTACATGTAGTTACCCTGTTTTACTCATCAAACATCTATCTCTTGCACATGCAGCCCTTTTCACTTAGTGTCCAGCTTAGGTATTTAGCAGACCTGTTTGCTTGTCTAACTTTTTACATGTAGATGTCTTGGTCAGCCATCTACCAATGTATTTCAATTTAGCTCTTCTGTATAGCTTTTTAGCTTATCTTTCCAGTAATAATTCTGTGAGTTGTACTTCTCTAGCTAAGTTCTCTGGGTTAAAGTTTTAGTTTATGATTATTGCTACATGTAAAAACAGAGTAGACACTGTGGGACAATACATGTACATCCTCTTGCGGCATTTGTGCCCAGTGGGCATAGTGGTCACATTTTAAATGCAACAACATAAAGGTTTAGGCTTGGATTCCAAGGGATCTTAGTCATTATATGAATTTACCGGTAAATATTTACATTGGTATTTACAAGAAAATGTCTACTTGTGGATTTCAACTCACCTGTTGCCAGTGCTGATCCTCCCCTGATTCTAGCTACAAGACCAGCAGGAATAACTTCAATATAACTATGGGCAACATTCTCCATACTGGCTTCACTCTCTTCCTTCATCACCAAAGTGACGGAAAGTTGAAAGATGTACATGCCATACCCCAGAGTGAACCCCGGAATGTACATATCTGCAGCCTGTGCGTTGACGCTAGGTGGCAGGCCAACCTCATTGGATGGGCTTGGGACTGTGAATAAGCTGTCAACTGTATAAACCCTCCATTGGTAGTGTGCTCGCTTGGCCTGTTGGCAGTTGATCTCAACTGATGCACCAAAGATGAATGCTTTACTTCGGCTGTACTTCTTAGCCAGGTAGTAGCTACTGCCACCATCTCGTATGTGAATGACCGGTATCCTGCAAAGGTGTGCAACATCTTGGACATAAACGTAGGTGATGGCGATCCATTCCATTGCCAGATTGGAGCCAGTAACCCGTGGTGCATAGAAATCAACCTCTTGGTAGGTGTGATTCATGACTGTGGCATAGGACTTTGCTGGGTCGGTTGGCAGAGCAAGATTCCGTGGAACAAATTGCATAATGTCAATGTTGTGCTGAGGCTCGGGTAATGGCTCTGAAAACCCATCCCCGTAGCTGACGCTGAAGGATGAGTTTGAGCCGAGACTTTCCACAAGTACAACAAATGTGATCGGTTCACCTACAATCCCTGGGCTGTTGCTGACCAGATAAAGACTAACAATGGCATCTAGTACCAGCACTGATGCATCCACTGTAGTATAACTTGAGTAGAAATTGCTGGCAGTTGCTTGAAGATTGAAAGTCCCATTGGAAGGAAACCTGTAAAACAGATTTCTACCAGTAGTTTCCATGTGGTATGTCTGAGTGTGCCCAGCTACTCTCCAGGTAACAAGCTCAGGAGTGCCAGTTCCTTTTAACTCAAATGAATATTCATTCTCTGTCACTATTGGATGGAGGAATAGTGGTTCCTGCCAAAACCAATCTCTTTCACTGCTTGGGAAGTAGATTCCACCTGTTTCAGATGAAATAACAGAAGTCTGTCAACCACTTGTCTGAAAGGCGTGTGACACTTTGTGTTACCTGCATTCTAACGAGTGCAAAAAGCATCATTCAAAGATGGTGCATTGAAAGTGCATTGGTGCACTTATAACGTAATATGAGCTTGTTTGGAAATAAGTGGTTTCATTCAGTGGCAGAAATAATCAGATTTTTCTTTTCCAGCCAGCTAGCCAATTTATTTGTTGATGGAAGTTTGCCAACATACTGTGGTGGGAGAGACGGATCGTCATGTGAGTGATTGGCTGCAGTACTGCCACACGGGTACTATTCACAGTGGAGCTCAGGTCATTGCAGACATGAAGTGTGGCATGGTAGATTCCGGGTGTGGTGTAGGTGTGTGGTATGATAAGGAAAGAACTTGAGTCTGTAATTCCAACCATGGAGGAATTACCTGTGGAGATGAAAGTGAGCAATTAGGAAAAATTTAAAGTGGAGAAATGAAGGTACACAATCAGTTGCATGCATGAGGTCTCGACCATCCTCTAGTTCACTCATGCTTGGTTTGGCCCCTTTCCAACTGGGTTCATGGAAAACAAATACTTCACCATCAGCATTTCTTGTAATTATCACAATGAGCCACGACATCAGATTAGATTTCAACATGTTGATCTTTGGTTGGGCTTGATAGGCCATGTCACTTTTAGCTTGTTTCTTTCATGTACAATGAATGCCCCTATTTCTAATTTTGTATTCAAACTCCAGGATTAGACATCTGACCCTTACAATTACAACCAAGGCTAGTAATCACTCGCCACGCTTGCCAAGCTTCGAAGTTACAGTAAATTCATATCAACTTTGGAGGTATAAATGGCGATAGCTTTTACACTTGGAATGTGGCTTCTGGTGTGATCTTTTTAATATATTATTGCATTCCCTGCACATGCTTTTGCTGTCTATTCAAAGTGTTGTCCACTAAAATCAACATAAAGCATTTGCTTTCATTCGCAAATGAACTGTACACAGGCCCAAGTCCTGTTACAAATGCAATTAAATGTCAATGTATTAAGCGAAGCTCATTTTCAAAGTACTTACCACTTGCACCATCTCCAAAATCCACTGAATACCTCATGCTAGTGGGGATGGGACGATCCAAAAACTGCACAGAAAATTGAACGGTATTCCCAACTGCAAAGTTAATAGGAGTGTTGGATTCCAATATTACGGATGTAACAGGGTATTGAGTTACTATGCTTATGCAGGCCTCTTCAGATGTGAAGTTATTGTAGACCTTGGCACAGATTTGGTACTCTGCAACTGTGGATAAAGGAAAATTGAAGTTATGAAGTAATGCTCAATAAGTGATTACTACTGTATAACCTTTTTTTAATAGCTAGCCCTGCTTATTGGTGATTATCCCACCAGTAGGTGAGGTATATGATATATTCAAAAAGGCAAGGCCTGAGTTAACAAATTTATTAAATTAATCTAGTTAAATTATTAAATTGAATTTAATAAAATTATCTAGTTATGCATTTCTGAACTCACTTTCTAAAAGTGATATTGTCATCTGATCAACATCCTCTGGTAATCTTCCCTGCCTCTCTTTCAGCACTCTCAAGACAACTGATGGACCATTTGTGATGCTCCATTCAATCATTGCAGGGAATCCTGACTCGGCCGTCACTGCCAGTAGGACATCATCTCTGGGAATCACAGTGGAATGACTGGAGGCAAGGGTGACCCCCAAGACTGGGTTCATCAGCGTGAAGGTACTCAGGCATTGTAGATCCACGCGGCCGTTCCTGACGCGGAGTGTTAAGTCATGGCTCCCCAGTGAGATAAGATGCTGGAGATATTCTGTGATGATCAGGCTGTCTTCAACCACCGTTGTTTGGATTTTCATTGTTGATGCAATTGCTTCATACACCTCCACGTTGTCTATGAGAAGGCTGTAGTGTAACCCTATTGTGTACTCATGTCTGTAGTGGACAACGATGTTGCTACCATACCGGAAGATTTCTTGCACCACTGCATTGGTGTCTGTGATAACACACTGAAGCCAGTCAATATCACGGAAAACAGCAACTTGTGTGTGGTGGTAAATTCGGCCAAATGAGGTTTGACATGATGTCAACACCTAGGGTTAAAATTAATGGAAAAAACGTAAGCATTGTTGTTCCTTCAAATGGCAAATCCAATTTATAACTCTTTTACTGCTTCAACTGGAGCATATCCATTTCTTTTGGAAATATTGCAGTATTCAAAACCCTGTTTTCCATGTGTATTACAGGCAATAACTGAACTACAGTTCAACATGCAACAGTGTTTATAAAGTCAGTTTCATCCTGATTCTATTAAATAATGCATGTCAGTTTAAAACCATAATCTAATCTTGACTGATCCTTGACTCCCTTTTAGTAATAACTTCCAACAAACCAATTCAGGTTTACTATTACTTCAATTTTTATGTCACCAATTTCGGGTACTTACACGCCCCTTTGTATGCTATGGCATTATTGAAGTGTTAGGTATTTTGAAGAAGCTCTTGTCCATTTCCACTTTTTCGGTAACAAATCATTACAATAGTGGACTAATTAGGAGAACAAAGGCAGAAAACGTAATATGGGATCAATATTAAACTCACAGTATAATATCCAGGATGAGAGTACTGATGTGATATCCCCAGCTGTAATTCTGTAGCAGTAGTGAACAGTTGATTCTCGTCACCAAAATCCCAAGAGCACATGATGTAGGGTTCCCTGGTGTAATCCGTTTGAAAGATAAATATCACAGGATCCTTGTAGCTGACTTCAGATGGGGCAGACACCTGAAAAGGAGCTGAGAATATTGCAACAAGTGTTGATTTAAAGTCAGTATCTTTTATGTGGAAAATAAAATGAACCTGAACTGAACTTTATGATAAAAATCGGAATCTGGTGCCCACAAGCCAAGTCCAGAAAATTCAGCCATCATTAGTGCTTTTTCAGTTTGCCCTTGATTTTGGTAAGTGGGGCCTAGTGCATTTAATGTTTCTGCATTTTTGAGCAAGATAAGATACCGGTACCCTCTATTAAAACGCTTGCAGTGATTAATTATAAATTCTAATGGACAAATTTTGACTTAATTTTTATGTATGATGTAGGCTACCTACCTTGCATGGTTGCATTTGTCATTTTCAGGTGCTTTGTTGTTACGATTATCACCAGAATGAGAAGGCTGACCCACAAACGGAAGCTGGTCGTGCACTTTGTCTCCATTGGTCTTAGCCCATTCAACAACGAATCCATCAACTTTGGCGTGAAGAACCCTTTCATTTCATTCTCGATGCCTGTTGACTCGTTTCTTAAATATTGCGGTAAGTCAACAGGATCAGGAATAAATTACCGAGTAAACTTGCTGGACAAGACCTGCAGTACACATACGCGGTCGTGAACGTACGAACCTGGTATTTTTAGGTCCGGGCAGCGCTCAGCGTCAGCCAGTGCGCCGAAAAATGACGCAGGGCGCGTCTTCAGTCGGTGCGGCAGAGTGACAGACGTCGAGAAGCTCAAAGCCCCCCCCCCCGCCAAAAAAGAGAGGGGTTGTGTTTTTCAACGAACTGACACAGCTTTTTGTTGTTTTTGATTATATTTAGTACTATATGCAGATCATGGAAATTAGGGAGTAGGCAGGAAGGCCTAAAATACAATTTGCCGTTTCTTGGCGGATACAATTGAACTGTTGTCTAAGAGCAGACGACTCGATCTTTGAGGAGAATGGCGCCACCATGCGACATATGACTAAATGGTACACGGCATTTGTATGGCTGCAGCGCTATGCTGTCAGTGGCGCGAGTACCAGCCGATAGTGCTTAGCAACATAAAATGGCGTCGTGTGGCCGACTGGACTGGGAAATGGGACGCTCACATCTGAACAAGGTAACAAAAAAGTTTGCATTAAATTCTGTTTATGAGCTGCGTTGAAGCTCATGGACATTTTCAAATCAAACCAAGTGGTCTTCCTGCCCGTCGTTTACTACATCTACGTTACATCTTCTTGGCCCAGCTTGTCACGGGATCTGCGCGGGACCGGCGCGGCCTGCACCTCATGTAGGCTGTGAGCCGGTCGGCGGTTTGAAGCTTATGAAGTGGGGCCTACTGGCCTAGTTTACTTATTCCTCATGGGGAAGTCATCAGAATAATATAATAATCCTCGTCGACTCCTTGCAAGTTGCAACTTGGGGCATAGGGATTTTCGGCATCAAACAAGCCTTGAAATGTAGGTGGCACAGTTTTTTTTTGTTTTTTCCCTGTTGCCCTCCATTGCTCAGGGATGTTCATCCTGAGTGTCAACTGCCTTGGTTAACTTATTCGAATATCAAACGATTAGCCTAGGCCTACTTCACTTGTTCAACAATGTTGAACATCAAACAAGGAACTAGCCTAGGCTCCTAACTTCACATTGGTGCATGGCCGTCGTCATATTGACCAAGGCATACACTGTAGGCCCTAAATTAACAGGTTAGGCTTAACTTACACTCACATGTAGGCTGACTGCGAGTCTACTTGGCATTTCACATCAAAATAAAACAAAGGGATGATGTTGGCCTGGACCCAGTATGGGGGCGCATGCCAGGGGGCAAACCCTGTCAGAAAGTGTCATTAGGCCTATTAGCATTGTCAACCTGAACTGGTCTAAAGGTTAGGCACAACTTTATGTTGTGTACATGTAATTGTATCCTTGGCTGGCTTTGGCCCATGCTTTAATTTTTTCCTTGACAGTAGGGCCAGGGAAGAATAAGTGATGTCTGGCATGAATAGGTCTGTATTTAACCTCAGTGGTGCTTAAATGTACTACTATCATTTCTTGGGCTGAAAACCATGGAGGCTGAACGTTGATAAGCATGAGTGTCTTCATCATTGGATTTTCCATACAGGTATGCAAAAAGGAAGGTAGTGATATGATGTACCATCATATCAGTAAACAAGCTTTGATGCACTAATATACATGTAGTTGTGAGGAAATCATAAAACCTCATTTTGGTTTAGCCAGGGTCGTAAGATGCCTTTACTGCATGTATAATTGTGACATTAATCATGTTACCTTGGTCGATCTGTGAGTGTTGTTCCATTGTAATGGAGACATGATCCAACCTGTTATGCAGTACTACTTGTAGGTTTACTAGTACTGCAGATATCCAGATAGATAGATTCCTTCTGAATCTTCTAACTTCTAGAAGTCAGTCGCTTCAATGCTAAACATTGTTCATTCCTTTCATTTGATAGAAGATGATTGGTTGTGGTTCCTGGATGGATTGTCTTGATGTGACAATCAGATACAACTGATGATGTGCAATGGCAGATGAACAAGTGGGTATTTCAGAGCAAGATGGGCTGATGGGTCAGCCCGCTGAGGCTTCCAGTGGAAGTGCGATGGATGCTGTAAATGATAATGTGCAGTTAGATACAGAGGAGGAGGGGACAGAGGCTGATGGTGCTGGGGTGGCCGTGATCCAGGCTGAAGAGAAAGCTATGGATGGAGGAGAAAATGCCACAGCATCTAGACAAGAGGATTTGGCATGTGCCACTGAAGACATTCCGACACCAGAAGCAGAACAATCAGGTACGCGCAGCCTTATGATTGGGAATAGTTTAGACTGATGAAGGGGTGGCTGAGAGCTGAACTGGGCTTGTAGAAATAATTATTTTGAAAAAATATGTTATGTCATTTTGCAAAATATCACTTCACTTTACATGTTGAATGTGTTTGCACTGTTCACGTCATACATGTATTTTGAGCATTTTTTGTAAGCAGGATGTTTCCATCTTTATCTCAGATGTGCCAGAAATCCTATCATTCATGTGTTTTATGTTTTCATTCTTTGATCTTCGTATGTAAAAGTAAAAAATTCAGAAAAATTAATAAATGTTAAAATTTATTTTCAAATTTATGACAGGAGAGACTCCAAGAGCACATCCTTTGAGTGAAGTTGCCAACAGTGACGACTCTAATGATATTACCTCAGACCAGGAGAAAAGTGACACTCAGCAAGATTTGGACGGAAATAATTACAAGAGCCAGAGCCAGAATTCCAGTCCATCCAATGAGGATGCAAATACCAGCCCACTTGATCAGGATACCAATGCAAGCCCAAGTGCTCAGCATGGCGAAGATGGGTCACTCAACCAGGTGCCAGAGAGTGCCTCACTGAAACAGGATTCCAACATTGAGCCATCGCTCCAGGAATCAGGTCCACCTGGTCAACAGGACTTGAGTAACCTACACGTGTCTGATCCTGACAGTGTGGAGGAGATTCCAGAGGACAATGAGGCCAAGAACGTACAGATAAACTCTGGAGAGGGTGATGCCAAACAGTCACGGCTTCAGGAACAAGATCAAGTTGCAGAGGATGCCACAGAAGTGCCCGAGGTGGGAGCAGAGATGAGCCCAGATAGTGACGAGTTACGAGAGGGTAAGACCTTGGATTATGAGATAACTGAAGAGGCTTCAAATGGGCTTAGTGGTGCCAGTGCCAATCGAGACGAAGAGGCCAAAGTTGCAGTGGGAGATACCCATGATGAGGCTCCCTCCTCTCAACAACCTCCTGTCCAAGATGGAGCTACAGAGGACAATGCGGAAATTGCCGCCGATAATCCCAGTGCAGCATCCTCTTCTCCCCAGTCTCCTGTAGTCTCGGCAGGAGATGACCCACCAGATCCCGTTCATCAGGAGAACAATAACAATGAGTTAAGTGGCAGCAAGTCATTTGTTAATGAATCAGTACGTATTCCCACCGCTGAAGGTGACATGGAGGAAACAGGGTCCAATAGAGGATCACAGGAGGATCCAGCAATGTACAAAATGAGATCCTCACTTCCAGCGGATGCATATGGAGGTAAGCAAATCGTGCTTCTTCCATAACCATGTATTTCATAATTCATTCCAAAATCCAGTACAAAGGTGTCATTGAATCTGTTATCTAGAGAAAAGGTCCAGGCTGAAACTCCATTGGAAATTTGTATATGAAGACATGCTTATAATAGATGCACTGCAGCTCTGAAAGCCCATTTCAGCCCAGATAAATTCAGATCCCATCCTCACTGAACATAATTAGGCAAATGGGTCTCAACTTTTAAGAAGCTGTCCTTTTATTGGACAGAGAGGGACTGTGGACTATTCTTAGTTGAAATGACCAGTTTAACACGTACATGTATCCTACTTGCTTGAAAAATTATTTTTACTTGTATCTCCAATACCCAAAGAATGCTCAAAGGAAGGTTGTATTCTGAATTAATTTTTTTAAAATATTGCCATACAATTACAACCCATTACATTTGTTTAATTACGGGTTTTGCCCTGACTGACATACAGTGTATATTCCTAAACACTGTATACTCGGTCCTTGTCCGAGAGCTTGCAAAAAAATTCACCAGTTTACTCAGGTGGGACTCGATCCCACAACCTCCTGCTTACCAGTGCAGACATTACAACCACTCAACCTTCGAGCTTACCGGGGTCGGCTGGCCGGTCCGAGTCAGATGTAGCAGTGGATGCTGCAAATTATTTCAAAATGTACTTTGTGCCATGGAGATGTTTATTTTAATTATGTGTTTTGCCCGTACCCAACGTATACATGTATTCCTAAATGCTGTATACTCAGTGCATGTCCAAGAGCTTGTGAAAAAATTCACTAGCTTTCTCGGGTGGGACTCAAACCCACAACCTCTTGCTTGTTAGTGCAGACGTCTTAACCACTTGACCACCAAGCTTGCTTGGGTTCACAAGCTGTTGGACAAGCACTGAGTATACAAGTACATGTACAGTGTTTAGGATAAGGAAAGGGCAATGCCAATAATTAAAATTGACATCTCCCTGACGCAAAGTGCATCATGAAATAGTTTGCGGCACCCGCTGCTACATCTGACTTGGACGGGCCAGCTGACCCTGTCAAGCTCAGTGGTCGATTGGTTGTGACGTCTGCACCAGTAAGCAGGAGGTCGTGGGTTCGAATCCCACCTGAGTAAGCTTGTAAAAATGTTTTTCCAATTTTTTTTTCGGACAAACACTGAGTATATGGTGTTTAGGAATGTACATGTATGTCGGGTAAGGGCAATACCTGTAATTAAAATTCACATCTCCCTGATGCAGAGTACATGTACATCTTGAAACTATTACATTTGTTTTCCCAACATATGATTGGGTTTCATTGCATGCATGTATCATACAAGTACTTGAGGTACATGTAATCTTCTGGAATTCAAGTCGTCAGAAGGCTGTGAAAGGAGTTGGCAATTAACACTCACAGTTTTTAGTACATGTTTAATGGCGGAATTATTGTTTAAATAATTATTGTTTTGCTGTGTGTAGATTCCAAGGGTAACCGTTTGCCAGCACTGATCCATCCAGACCCTCGGTTGGCCCACTCGCTGCCCGCGTCCATGGAGCGCGGCAACATCCCGAATAGATATCAATACAGCAGACGAGCCCCTCAGGCGTACCATGGCCACATACCCCGCATCCCCTCGGCCAGTGGCTCCACCAAGGCTGAGGTGCGGGAGGGAGACGTACGGCGAGCCCTGAATTCGGCCAAGTTGCCCCCTTCCGTCATGAAGATGTCCACAGTGATGGTGTCGGCAAGGTGAGGGTTGACATGGTTGATCCCTTCATCTGTTCTGATTTTTGTCAGTGTTTCTGCTGTTAGGTGCAAGTAAGGTTTATCCTAACAGGCCCTGACAAGTCTCTGAATTTGTTGATGTCTTTCTTTTGGGTATGCTAGTGAGAATAATCCAGGAAAGTATCTCGCAACAAAACCAATACTGCAAATATCTCTTTGTGATATACAGTATGTACATGTAGGTGTACACCTACATCATTTTGCAATTGATGTGAAGATTTGACTTCAAACTAGCACCTCGCAATCCAGGTATAAACTGTAGAATGCTAGGCAGCTTGCTCAACTCATCAAATATAACACAAAAACTTCTCCAGCTCTTTCATGTCCGGCATGGCATTGTTCAGTTATAGAGACTTTCAACGAGCTACGTGTAGATGCATGTTCATCCATTAGTCGTTATTTGGGTGATTACAGCAAGTGTAATCTACCGTATCTAGCATTATGACCCAAGGTCAGACCGTAAACATTGCGACCTCCCCCACACTATAAGGGGGTGGTATTCTGCAATGCCATCAGACTTTGAATGAATTAAATCCTCTGTAATGTAACAAAAGTTTGTTTCTGCATTATTCCCTTCACAGAAAGCGGGCTGTATTGAATAGAAATGCCAGTGTATTTTATGAGGAAATGCAGCACCGTAAAGTGATCTGTAAGTACCACATTGGCAATTATACTATTGTAGGCCTGCCCAAATTAAGCACATTTATTGGCCTTTTTAACAAATAAGATTGTTAGACCAATTTCAATTAAAACAATCCAGAACTGAAGATTGTAGTTGAATCCTCAAAGTAACATGTAACTTTGAGGATTCAACTTTCGTGACGTTATCAAGGATAAAGTTACATGTACATACTTGTAACTTGATCCTTGATAACTTCATGAAATGTTTGCAATCAGGAATCCTGACTTAATTCTGTAATTTATACCCCACATTAATAGCGCTACATGTATTTAGAACAGGCTACATGTCCGATGTTATATATTTTACATGTACCCCAGCTTCTCATTTAAAATGCATCAGTGTCACCATAGTATATTCATTTGGCTTTTCTACAATTTTAGTAGCAATCTACAAACAACACATATTCCAGAAACGTTAAGACTTATGATTTCCTCCCATAATTGGTCACAGCTGGTGTATGTAATATGTGTGATGTACTTTCATCAGCTCTTGACCAGGCTATTAACAGTCGTCCTCCAATGCCCTTTGACCTTGATGGCCCCGGACCATGGAGTTACTCCCCACGGAACAAGCCCCTGAATGAGGATAATTCACCTGAGTACACATTTGGTCACAGGCTGAACGAAAAGAGTGAGTCTGAGCCCGACTTGCCTGCACCGTCACATGGATGAACTAGAAATTTTGTTGAAGGATCAATTGAAGAAAGCAATAAGATCGTGTTTACTTCCATAAAGTTGTTTTGAAGGGTAGATTTTATGTCCAGTTTGGAGAATGGTTTCAGTAATAAAAGTGTTGTGAATTATTTTGGTCATGTCAAACTGAAAGAGGAAGGTTGGTTTTAAAATTCAAGGCATGGGAAAGGTGGTTGTTTTATACAAGCAGGTGGACTACAGCTTCAGCCCTGAAGTCTCTTTTTGAAAAAAATAGTATGTTTGCAGAGATTTCAGACTCATTCTGAGAAGAGTGGCCTGCTTGCATAAACTCTTAGACATATTCAGCACCAGTTTTGCCATATCTGTAACAGTTAGCATCATTTGCCCTATTTTGCTTCATAGATGGCGGAGGGCGGACTGCATATGCCAAGACTTGGTTCAACAGCAATAATGGGTTCACCCAAAAAGTAAACTTTGAGAGAAGGGTGAGTCAATGATGACAATATGCTTTGTACACAGTGCAATTGACAGTTGTTCCAGTACCATGGTTTGTGACAGTGAAACAACAAGTACGAAGAAAATTTAAATTGCGAGAAAAAAATACCTTGAAAAGTTCTATATTTACATATTTTTAGGAGTTTGTTCCTTGTATTTGGTGTTTAATTTAAAATGCAAAATATGCATCTTTCATACTATTCAAGTTTCCTCTCCTCATGTTACATACATTGTTTAAAAGTCAAGCTTTTGAAAAGAGAACCAAACCATACAGTGAAACATTCACTGTTGTCGCTTTTCTCCAGTTGATGAATTGCAGCTTTGATGAATAGAAGTGAAAATGATATCTTCCACATTACTCAGTGTTAAGTTGATCATTACAGATTTGATTTTCTTTTGGTGATTATATTGAAGTGGCCCTCACCAGCACACTACAACAGCACCCGTCCGTTGATGGGCCGCCACAACCCAACCCTAGTAGACCATCCTTCCTTCACCATTGGTGTCCGAAGTAAATTCAACATCAGTAAAAGAGGTGATTCTCTTATTTGTACTTGACGTTTCAAGTTGACTTTTTTTCAGCATGCACACAGTGTTTTCCTTGTAGCTTGGAATCTCCTGGTGCTGTTTTGTATTGACATCCCTTTTGTAGGCACTTTTGAGTTAGGCCAGTCACAGTTTTCTTAATACCCTTACAAGTCCATCACCAGTTATCCAGTCACCAGGCAATTAAGCTGCAAGCTATTTAACCGAACTACAATAAAGGTATTCCTTGCTATTTATGACTGGTCTTGTGAGATGACTTGTAATGGACTCTACCACTACTCTGAAAGTGCACCTATTGAAGTATTCTTTTTGGCTCCTCATAATAATTATACTTATCCATGTGATCTTGGATGATACTCAGTATTTCAAAAGTTTTCAAAACAATGGGTGGATCTTCTGACGATATTTGGTGCACTGAACTCAACTTATTACAAACTGTTCACAATGCACCAGGCTCAGAGAATGAACCAGCACCGAATGAATACAATCGTTCCAAGTCGGATGCCGCCATCTTACGGACAGCACCAAAATACACCATCAGCCACAGACACCAAGGCACAAAGCTCTGGAGTGGAAGTGGTAAGTTACGCATTGTTTAAAGATATGTTCTGTGTGGAAAAATTTATCATGGGAGATTAAACCTGAGCCCTAAGGCACTTAACGGGCAATTTTCCACTAAGGTCAAACTAGTGGCACATTGGTACTGATTTGCAACAATCAAAAAGTCATAAACAACGTAACAGTATTAGGGTTCACGTTAATCTCAATCCTGCAAAATCCTCCAAAACTTCTTGGGTACAGTTAACGTTATGCCTCTGTTAACCACAGAATTCTGTGCTTACAATCATCATTCTGTACTTAGAACAGGATGTTTTTTCTCTATCCATCTTGAGCAGAAGCACCTCCTTACTAGTTGAAAAGAGCCACATTGGTCGGGAGTGCTCATTTTGTTGGTAGTGATGTGACTATAATGTGTGCATTTCCTAGTCTTTCGTAGACCAGCAAAGTTCAGTTCTGACCAAAGGAGCCTCCATTCCCAAGAAAATTGCACCCTCTCTCGGTCCAGCTCGGGCCTCATAAGCATCTGTATGCACAGAAGTTGTAGTTTATGATGAAGTGATGTATGCACATGTACATGTATCAGCAGAAATTAGCTCCTACGATATCCTACAGAGTGCTGTTACCGTGACTGCAGAATTTTCTGCTATAAGCAGGGATTCTTCGTTTACAGTAAGCAGGGCTACCTAAGTGGTCCCTGGTCAATTTTGAAGAGTACGGTATATACCTGAAGCCATTTTCAAAAGTTTTTTTTTTTCCTTTGTAGAATTAACTCCAGGCCCTGGTGCATACAATCCACGCTGGGGATTTTCTTCCGGCTCTGTCCACCACCCCTCGTTCACAATCCAGGGAGTGCGACGGACAAAAAGCCACGAGCTCGGACCACACTCAACCTTCTGAGATTCCAGCAGAGAGTGTGAATACAGTCGGAAACCCCAGGGTTTTGATTAAAATGTGCAAGCCCATATGACTTGTGTGCTTCCTACATTTGTATGCACCTTTAAGCAGAGATTACAGCAAGTGTTCTGTCATGAAAAGTATACCTGTAAAGAAGTAGTTGTGTTCACAGCTTCTTTGCTTGATGGATGAAATAATTTCAGAGGGTAAATTACTTTGTACTTTGCTTGATGGATGGAATAATTTCAGAGGGTAAATAACTTTGTACTTTTCGATCCCCATGAATACAGTGATCTAGGGCTCCTTGAGATCAAGGATTGCTCATTGTAATCCATAGCTTGAGTGTGCCAGTACTTTGCCAATATCTTTGAACTAAATTACTTCGCTGGGGTAAAAAGATGAGGAATTTCACTCTCTGCTTTCCATGGTTGGGGGTGACTTCTAAAAGCAACTTTGCAAATAACAAATTGTTTGTTGTAAATTCTGCCTTTTTTGGCTAGAGTGGAAGAAAATTCTGTATCATAAATATAGCTGCTTCATGTGCACGTTTTAGTATATGCTTGCATATGAAGTACTTACTTTGCTGTGGAATGTTTTTTGTCAACTGGGCTGAGAAACCATGCTAAGTCGGTAAGCAATATCTCAAAAGAAAATCAGAAATATCCTGTTTCATTTGAGTACTCCATTCAAGCGTGTTCCGAGAAGGCTGCTCTTCTGTAACTTAGGCATAGATGGAGACTTTTCCACCAGGAAACACCAAATGCTCTTGGGCTGTGTTCTCAGTGAGGAAATTTGCACTGAATGCCCCCAAAAAATTATTTTAATAAAATATTCGTAGTACATGTTCATTTACTCTCAGCTGCCATAAGCTGTGGTGTTATTCACATTTTACGGGTTTCATGAATTCAGTGTATATTTTCCTATCTATTTTTATACATATTTGTACAAACACCTTGTGGATCTGTTTTTAAAATTTAAAATCAGTAAATAGAAATTTTACTTCCACGCACGAGAAATAACATTTTACTCCCTTTAGCCGAGATTATGCATTGAAACACAGATTTATGTAATAGGAACCATAAGCAGTAGTTCTATTGATCTTGAGGATACAAAATCCTCTACACATATTCAAGTGCTTAAAAACAATTTCAGCAGAAGAGTTGTGTCATGCAACTGTCAGTGATGGTCAAAACACTGTTCCAGGTGTAATGTTCAGAAAAACAAAACAAAAAAAATTCTTATGTTATTAAGAGGCTTCCTCAGTGTGTGTACAGCGATCTTTGGGCGAGACTGATTTCTAATGCTGTATTTAAAATTACATGTACACATCACTATAACAGGGCGCGAGTGGTTCCACAGTAGCATTTGTATAATTGAATGTGTCGTACTAGTTACAGAAAACTGGGGGCTATTTTCTCAGTGTCTTTACCCATGGTAGTACACCCAAATTACCCGGTATTGTTGGCTGAACTTGCAGTATAAAATGACTTTGCATACATTAAATTTAGCAAATCTACTTATATCTTCAGTCTGTATAGAGGCTCTTTATTTTAGTTGCACTGGATTTGACTGAAAAGCATCAGACTATTTTTAAGTGCTGAAATTCATGCACTTGTCTGAGAATTTGTAGAGCGAACAAATAAATAGAACACTCTATGTAAATTCACTATGTTGTGATTTTTTTCTGACGTCCTAGTTTCCAGAGAAATACAGTGGAATGGGTAACCTTGTAGGTATGGTGTAAATGGTCCTTTTATAAAAAAATTAAAAATGTACACAAATATACATAATGCACAAGATGCCTTTTTACACAGAAGCAAACACACAGACTATTTCATTTTTTCGAATTCAACTTGATACCAATTTCAAGTGGACATTTATTTTCACACGGCACCAAAGTAAGCACATATATGTAAAAAATATGTACAGGCCGAAAAAAAAATAAACAACTCAAAGTAAAGTGTTAAAAAGTAACCATTTAACATTTCAGTTCTGTTGCCAACTATAAACCTGTTGGAAAGCTACATAAGGTACAATATTTTGTTGCAAAAAGTCTGGTTTCCATTTAATGGCAGCAATGAGAAGCATATTCAAAGACAGGGTCAACCATCAAGACGACACAAGGTTTGGTCTTGTGCTGGGGCTGTCAAATTTTATGCTAACCGAAGGGTCTGTTAGACCCAATTAATTTGAAGTAAATTTTTCTGATTACTGGGCTGTCTCCGTGGGCATTGTGAGAAGGAAGCATGGGGAGTGATCCCTCAAGGGAAACTTTAATAAGGAAAAAAAGCAAAGAAGTACAAAAATGAGGTGGGGATAAAAATTACAAATTTGCTCGAAAAATGGCAAAATTGATACCTTTCCACTGTTAAAAGTTTATCAGTTCATTGCTGATGAGTACTCCCCCCAAGTTCTCTTTACTGGAAAAAGTGCTTTGCCCCAACCCCCCTCCCCCCAAAAAATCCTAGTGATATCTGCGACTTTCTCCCATTCATCCAGTAATTTTCAGGATATGATGAATGTATCTGGTGTGTAACTGGAGATACCACACTTATTAGGTTCCCTACCTTACTTCAAATGAGCAGGAAATGTATGGTTTGCTAATGCAGTTGTTATTTGTGTTTCAGAACTCTTTTCACAACAGCACCAGATAATGAAGTCTATATGAGTTAGCCAGGTACCTTCTCATGCCCATATATTTCATCGTCTCCATCGACCACAATCATTCTTGCCAGTACAACACATTGTCACTGCTAATGTAGAACAAAAAAGGGTACGCTTCCGGGAGCCACAGGAACCCCGGCTTCACTTAACCAGATCACCCAATGCTTCATCTGTTGCCTGTCGATAGCTGTCACGAGTGTTGAATCACCGCCTCGTCCCACGGTCCATGGATGTTACTGCACAGAGAAACACGGGATTTTCATTGTGAAAAATGTTTGGAGGCTTCCCATGTACACCCCCAACACTGGAACCCTGACAAAGACGGTCAGTTTTCACATTTTCAAATGAATTAAAAAAAAAAAAACTATGCATACTATGCACCCTTGCATTCAAATAAGTGCACATGTGGACCTACACGTAAAATGTGCATTTGCTAGTTACATCTTGTTTTTTCACATTGAGCCAACGGGATCACTCTTTTAATAAAATTCAAAGGCCTGTGAAATGAATTTCACATGATAGTCTCTTTCGCCAAAGGTTTCATTAAGTTGAAGAGAACAAACATTTTGCAGAGTGACGACAAACAGGGTGCCACACCACTTTCATGGTGTTCCAAATAATTCTATGAAGAAATGTACCCGTTTCTTGTGTTCTCTACAGGGTTTGCATGGCTTTCATCTTGCAGGACAGGGCTTTTGTTCCACAGGCTATTCACAATGTTCCCTGTGGAACAAAAGAACTGCCCTGCAAGATGGCTACCACGCATAGCCTCTATATCAACTTTTATTTGTGTTTGTAACACAGGGACAATGAATTCAGGATTTTCCAGATTTTAAAAGAGCATGTTTGAAAAAATTCTGTTATAAGGGAAAGCCTGACGATAGAAATCCTGAAATTAGGAAAATTTCTGACAAATATCATCCCTGGTACATACAACAATATCTGAAGCCTTTCTTCTATCCGTTTTTTCGGTGGATTGACCAATCTATGGTTAATCTAAGCAGATTCTGTAGGTTTTGCAGATCAATTTAAAAGAAAAACAAAACCCCTGCACTCACTTTTTAAATTGCTGTAAGCGTATCAGGCAGATGGGCACCAGAAACGTAACGGCAAGATGCACGAGGATGAGAATGATGGCGCCTACATGACTAACAGAGGCCACAGCACACAGGGCAATGAGGGATGACCCCAGTGTCAAAGGGATCTGTGTCCTTGGAAAATGAACCTTCATATCAAAATATAAAACCATAACACATTTAATAAGAATACTTCCTAAACATTTCATGACAGTAATTAAGGCTTAATTCAATTCATGTTTTAACAAATTTTTTAATCATCCAATCTTTTTTTTTCAGCATCAATATTCACAACTGGGAAGCAGTGAGGTAAAAAAAAGGAAGAGAAGAAAAACAGTTCTGGAGTGTAAAGATTGTATTCTGGAATTGCAAGTGATTGAGGCTCAAGTGCAAAGCAGAAACATGCCCCCCAGATGACCCCAGCTGGTTCTGTCGAGAGCACACAAGTTAAGTCTAACCTTCAGTTTTCTTCTCAACTCTGGCCAGAGAGCAAAGAGTTGCATCGCAACAGTGACAGTTGCAAAAGCATGCAGGGTGGATGGGAGCCGGGATGCCAGACACACCGAGGCAAAGATGGAGGCATTAAGTGAGACTGATCGCCTTGCCCTGAAATTCATTGAAGTATCATACATCAAATTATTTCAGAATATGACCACCATTGCCTATTTCTGCCAATATTAACACAAAGAAAATCTCAGGCTGATAATTTCTCAACCTGTGCACTTCAAAAGGCAAACAAGAATGAGTACCCCTTTTGTTACCTAAATAATAATTTAAAAGCCTGGTTTAATTTTTTGTGAGTTTTGGAAACTTGTTACTAACACTATGCTGTCTTTAAGACTCCTGAACAAAGACGGCCATCAAGCATAATTTTATTTCAGTGCTACATGTATATCCATCTGTATAAGAACACTGGTTTCAATACAGATATACATGTATATTTCTACAAATCAGGAAAATTACTTTACCTAGTTTCAGCTGAGGCATAGTCATGGAATAACAAATTCCCTAGAAGCATAAAAACCTGCAGATAGGAAATTAACAAAAGAAACAAGATAAGACTGAGGATGGCAATAATGCAACTTTAACTTCATTTCATCTCTCTTCACTTATAACTATGAGCCAGTTCGGTAAAACAGCAGGGCCATTTGGAAACAAAGCAAGTGTGCAAGTCTATGTATGGCTGCCCTGAGAGGGTTGACCATGCATGCATGGGCGAATGACCACAGACGTGCTTCATGTTTGGCATGCGCTATTGGAATACCAAACTGACTCATTATAAGACCTGATGGATATATTTCAAGGAGATTCTAAAACCATGATGAGAAGGTGTGAATATTAAATATTTAATGTACACATAAAACACATAAACAATGGCAACAGACACAGCAAAATATGAAACGATACTGGTATTTTTTTTTTTTGGTAATTAGCTGGAAAGGGGAATGGTGANACCTATTTCTGCCAATATTAACACAAAGAAAATCTCACGCTGATAATTTCTCAACCTGTGCACTTCAAAAGGCAAACAAGAATGAGTACCCCTTTTGTTACCTAAATAATAATTTACAAGCCTGGTTTGATTTTTAGTGAGTTTTGGAAACTTGTTACTAACACTATGCTGTCTTTAAGACTCCTGAACAAAGACGGCCATCAAGCATAATTTTATTTCAGTGCTATATCATCTGTATAAGAACACTGGTTTCAATACAGATATGTATTTCTACAAATCAGAAAAATTACTTTACCTAGTTTCAGCTGAGGCATAGTCATGGAATAACAAATTCCCTAGAAGCATAAAAACCTGCAGATAGGAAATGAACAAAAGACACAAGATAAGACTGAGGATGGGTGTAACACACCCAAGCAATAATGCAACTTTAACTTCATTTCACCTCTCTTCATTTATAACTATGAGCCACTTCGGTAAAACAGCAGGGCCATTTGGAAACAAAGCAAGTGTGCAAGTCCGTGTAGGGCTGCCCCTGAGAGGGTTGACCATGCATGCATGGGCAAATGACCACAGATGTGCTTCATGTTTGGCATGCGCTATTGGAATACCAAACTGACTCATTATAAGACCTGATGGATACATTTCAAGGAGATTCAGAAACCATGATGAAAAGAGGTGAATATTAAATATTTAAGGTACACATAAAATACATAAACAATGGCAACAGACACAGCAAAATATGAAACGATACAGGTATTTGTTTTTGGTAATTAGCTGGAAAGGGGAATGGTGAGGACAAAAAGGACTAAAAAACCAATATATATATTAGTCAAATGGTAGTGACTGATATGGAAGTATTAAAATGGCATGGACAAAAGATTCAAGAAAAAGTAAGAGTGAGAAGGAATCAAGTACTGATTCAAACACATCTATGTGCCTTGAATTGGACCAAGAGAGGGCGCTATATTCTTAGCAACAGATGCTCCTTTGGTTGGAACTGAACTTCACTGGTTCACAAACAACTGGGAAATGCCCGCATTACAGTCATTTCGCTACCAACAATATGAACACTCTCGACCAGCGTGGCTCTTTTCAACTGATGAAGGGGCACTTGGGAAGAGGGACTAAATGTCCAATGCTTTGAATTAATGAAAGAACAACCAAGAATAAGGTCTTGAATTCCTAATGCAGCACAGCGCTGAGGCCCTGACAACAGTACTGAAGTTGAGTCCACAAAAAGTCCCATTCACAAGTACATGACCATTCATGCATAACAGAATGAACAATGCAAAAGAGTGTTTCTGTCGCAGTACATCTAACTAGTTTCCAGTCTGGCTTCAGACTGGATGTTTGATGGACTTGACTACATGTTCACTGCCTGACAATCCTTCTAAATCGTTGCTCAGTATCCAAGCATTTATAATCATAAGTATCATCATCATAATTACCAGTAACATACTTACTGTCATTGCATAAATAGTGTCTGTACTGATTGTGTCTGTGAGCGTCTTCAGTATCGGCGACAAACCGTATGAGAAGGCTACAAATATGGCTGTACTTTTCAAGTCATCCAACCCTGTTGATGAAAAATCACACAAATTATTACCCATGGGCATGTAGCAATCAGTTGGTTCTCCTGCCAAAATAGCTAGAAGTCCTGACCACTCTGAATTTTTACAGAATCCCCCACAATATAAGACACCACAGTGTCATGTATCTGTACTGAAACTTTCAAGGGGCATAGTGCCATGTCAAAAGAGCTGCATCTTCCTCAATCCAATGAATCCTCATAAATCTCTGGGTGGATTTGAAGAATCTGGTAGGGTGACTGCCATGTGGGAAACATAATATGAAACAACAGTCACATGTCCTGTAGAGGACGGTTACACTGCATACCCTCGTCTTTATGCAAATATGATGCTAAGTACTTTCTGCTGATTTTCGTTACAATGTGCACAAATACAGACCGATACGAGTGTACTGGGCACACTTTGATAAGACATATC